AAATATTATCGCTGTCGACCACAGATATAATGAGAAATATGTCAGTGGAAGGTCCAAGCAAAACATTCTGAGGAACTGAAACACAGCAGGGCGGATACAGAAAAGGTTGTATCAAATCTGTTTTTCCTCTCCATCCTTTTGAAGCTTTCCTTTAAGTCACATCAAAAGTCTTACCAAATGGATTCCCTTTCATTCTCAATGGAGTCGGCTGTTGGTAATCTTCGTTAAGAATGCAGTCAGGAAAAAGAGGAAACAGCTACAGTAGCCTGGCTTTGTCCAAATGTGACTAAGTCTGTCTAGCAAGTTCAACAAATGTGGTTCATTTTTCGCCCGCAGTAACAGAAGGATCACTTTTCCCGAGCAGAGGGAAGATGGTTAATCGTTTATCTTCTTCAATATATACAGACAGTATGAGGGACCTATCTTATGATGTGTACTGCTTAAAGAAAAACAGATCTTTCATATATAGAATATTTATAAAATGATTCTAGAGCGTGGTTGAAATAAGACCATCTGCAGTAAGTCGACACCTCAAGTTTCAATATTGTCTTTGCTTCAAATTAAGCAAAATATTTTAGAGAGGTACACACTTCTATTTTGCAGTCTATTTCAAGAATTCTTATATTATTTCAAAGACAATTCATCTATAAATTATTGTAACATTCAATAGAATGCCTATCAAAATTTGAAAAAGATGAGACTTTTGCGCCTTCAGTTCGCTCCTAATCCAGAAATGTTCTGCAAAACAAGCCAAAGAAGGTTTCCCTGCAATATTGTTGTTCCAAAACAACCCCTCTTGGGTCTCCGCTGAAAGATGGTCTGCAAAACAGCTGAGATCACGTCTTTCACAACTTTGATTTAGCATTTCCAGTCCATTTTATGAATGATATCCCAGAACTAATGCTCCACCACACAAAGTACAATGTGAAAATGACTGGAAAAGATTAGTTTCCACAAATTTAATTAGCTCTTTTGTGTCAATGGGAACAAATGTCTCATCAAATCATTAGATGTCTTCAACACTGGATTTTCCCAGCCTGTGACTTGCTGTTGAGTGTTTGTGCAACACAACAACAGTCACCAAAGCAAAGAGATAACTAACACCAAGAGCGCTAAAAAACAGAGCTGTTGCCAGGAGCTTGTTTTACAATGTTTAAGGTAAAATTATTAAAGAACACAAATTAATATACTGGAGGAGAAAAAAAGATCTGTAACACATTCTGAGTAGAGTCAGCTTCCAGCATAAGTTCATCTATGACTGAAAAAAAAAATATATATATATATTTCAACAGATATTTAAAAGATGGAATATTGGAAGAAAATGTTTGTCGTTGTTGTTGTTTTTATGTTGAGGCTTTCCCTAACAGTCTACTTTGGACTCTGTCTCAGAGTCGGTGGTGTTACGCTCACCACTCAACCACAAACTGACTTCCCAGCAGGATCACTGCCTCATCCCAGAACATCTGTGTGGAATAAATCACATCTCAGGGGTTACCTCCCTAACCACCAGCCTTCAGGGTGACTAAGAGAGAGGCCTTAACTAATTTTACAATCGCAAACAGCAATATGTCAATTTCATTGATAAAACACTAAAATTATGACTAGAGAGGGATTTGTGAGTGGGAGGTAGAAGAAGGCTATAAAATGAGATGGTGCGACAGTAAGTTAAAATCATCACCCCATTATGGTAAATGTATCTCCAGAGATCTGCTAAATCTGCCTTGGATGCCACCATGCTATGAATAATAAGAGGCAGAAAGGGAAGTCCATATATCCGGCTAACAGGCAGCTGGCAGATGGTCATCGGTTGCCTGTGTATCCATGTCAGAACTAGTTGAACAATAACGGAAACTTAAAAAGCCAAATGGAGTAAGAAGGTTTTTATTAAGAATAAAAAAAATGGGCAAATATCAGGCAAAGCACTCCTTGGCACGGCCACAAAAAGGTCTTTAACACCAAAATCTGTTTGTAGGCCTATTTTGTTCTGCTTTTTCTTCCCCTATTCCTCAATTAATTGCTATTTACGTAGTCTGAACATGCTTGGAAAATTGTCAATAACTTGTTTGAGAAATTAAATGATAATAACAAGGTGTTGTGTTAAATTCAAAGTATTTTGATGTTTGTTTGCACTTCTGGGGAATGAATTCTCCACAGCAAAACATTATTTCTGTGTGAATGTGTGTGCGTGTGTGCGTTTTTATTTTGTCCTCACGGTCTTCCAATGTATCCATGTCGACCGTTTATGAATGAACATATGAATATACATATGCATATCATCATTTCTCAGTGTGTAGTACGCAAATGTATCAGTGCTGTCAGTTATGACTAGCAGACAAATAGGCACAAATAAACCAAATGCAAGTAGTTTGCAACAACTACACGTACATAATGGCCAAACAGTCCGATCAGGCATCCACAGCTAAATTTAATGGGCACGTATTCCTTATGCATTATTCTCAATTTAATGTTTTTCATTTAATTTATAATAAAATAGGGTGATTTCTTAAACACCCATAACATTCACTACACTCTTGGGTAACACGTGGCCTAAGAGGAGGGCTGTAATCCAGCTATGTGCCTCTTTTTAACTCCCATCTCCGAAACATTTTCTGACACGGAGCATATTTGACTCATTAGAAGGTCCTCACCAAACATATGGAGAAAATACATTGTGACAGGCTAAAGAGGGAAACAATGAGAGGTGGCGCCAGTGTCGAAAGCAAGAGTGAAAACAAAAAAGGGTGTATACAGTTAACGTAACATTTAGTGGAGAGTCACAGAGAGCCTACCAAATACAAAATGTTCTGGCTTTATTTGGAGCAGAAAAACCTCTGTGTGAAATCTGATGTACCTCAAAACATAACAAATTAAAATGATTTTAGACGAGGAAAGACTCCCAAACACAAGTGACAACTATATGAATATGAGGCTTACCATTTGCATAGGATTACCGCAGAAGTCCCAGCTTGGTCAAAGTAAATAACTTTTAGTTTTTGCGTCACAGAGATAATTCAGACGAATAAACTTTTATAACCAGCTGGTGACAGCCAGGGTTCGCTTGCTGCTCCGTCTGTCATTTATCTGCCCATAAATCAGTAGACTTTTATAAGACACTTAACAAGCGTCTGCACAGACACAAAATGAAACATAGGGAAAGACTTGGCATATCAAGTATCAACCCTGCAGGCTCATCAGCATAATTACAAGATGTTGAGGCCAAAAAAAAGGACATCCGTTGTGTTGAATGACAGAAGAGTAATGCCTGAAAGCCATAATAACTTTTGCAATCGGTGGTTTAATTGGATCCATTGCCAAATGTACCATCATTGGTGCTTTCATAACAAAGAAAAACTTATTAGTTCATAATCTCACTTAATAAATTCAAGCCCTCAACCTTTTTTTAACAAGGATGCAAAGGATCAAAGCGGCTCCAAAATGTCTTTGTTTTTTCTTAAATTCAATGTTCTCCCTTTTTAGTTCAATAAAGAAACTTTTCATATGTGAAATGTTCCCTTCGAGACTTCCCCCGATTTACCTAAACCACTTCTTCCTTTTTCTCTTCCTTATGGAGGAAATAGATGGTTTTTAGGCCTGGCATTTCTTCTTTTGTGATCCGCATGTCCATCTTTCACAAATGTGTTAAGAGCAAACTCAATATTGAGCTTGTTTTTAGTCTGCTGTGTGTAGAGACAACACTGGTTCATACATGTATTCCTCTAAAAATTATATTGTACGGGGACTGGACTGAAAGTGAAGGAAAAAGCAGCCAAAAATCCAAAGAATAGAATAATATGGAACTTTAAAAAGCTTGGAAAACTGCTGCTCAGCAGTTTGAAATACTGCATGAAAGTCTGGCTGCTTGGAATCAAAACACAGAGAAACGATTTCTCCACAGCTCTGTGCGTGCAGTTAATTAGTAATGGTGAACTGAAGTGTCCTTGTTCATTAACATTCCAGCCAAGTTTTTCACATCTAAGTTAGCTACCACAAAGGCACCAGCTGGACGTGCACCGCAGCCCAGCTTTGATGTGCATTTTGCCCCATGTGCGGCAGACAGCTCGGAGTGGCTTGTAAACAATGAAGTCAGATCTCCACAGTTGAACAAACTACGTTTTAAATGACCACAAACATTTGAAATAATCAATTGCAGATTCGGGTAAAACAAATGTCCTCGGGATTATATTTATAGCTGTATTTCAAAAGGCCACTTTTGAAGCACCACCCTCTTCTTAAAGTTATTCAAATCTCCTACAACACGACATAAAAAAGGCTCTGAAAAAGGGTTGAAGCGTACATTGCTACAAATCTGAAACAATTTCCCCAAAGGGTTCCTAAAATGTTGCAGGTAAAGATTTAGATGGACGGTTGCCCCAAAAATACATAAAGCTTCCAGCTACATCTGGCGCCATCGTGGAGGCAGAAGAATGAGCAGCTGGATCCAATATTGTCTGGATGCAGTGCAATGACACTCTGTTTACAGTCGTATTGTTTCAACCCCTAAGTGGTACATTGCAATACAGTGTTGAGTGCTTGTGAATAGGCGATAAATCATATAGCTCGATCTCACTACACAAGTCCTTGCTGTTTGTGTTTGTCACACAGGCTGATTACTGGCTTGCACTCTTTTAGAAACCTTCATGGTGGCAGTTGAACCTCTAAGCCATACTTTCTAAGGTTAAGCTCATTTTCAGATTAACCGGACAGCAGCCCACAACAGCTTGGCTTTAGAAAGAGCTAATTCTCTTCTCATGAACACCAAAATTTTGCATATGTTACAAGTAAAAGATTTATAGTCACAACATTTTCTGTGATGCATAGTTATAAAATGATGTAATCATATCTGTTGGAAATAATCATGTTCCACAGTCTGATTTTTAAAAAATGCCCTCTTTTTCTTCTACAATGTTGCACAAAATGATCAAATAAATCTGTAATGTTAAAGAGCCAACCAGAAAACAGCACATTTGAAATATATGCAGTTAGTCACCAGCCTGGTTTACGCACTTATATATAAAACACTTTATTTTTATACACATTGCACTTCTTATTATACACAGCTGCACAAAGTTGATAACAGAGTCAATGTGGTGAAAGAGTCATAGGTATAAAAGGAATATGTTTGCATATTGAAATAGATTCACATGATTAACGTCGAATACGACAACTACTAATATCTACTAAGTCATGTACAAGACAGAACACAGTGTCTTACACGTGGTCTTATGAGTCCTACATGAAGCTGTTTGTCCAGGTGACCAATTTGAAGGACATTGACGAATACATTTTTAAAAACCAACAAAAAGGATATTTATAAAAATAAAACTGGACACACAGATCGGAAAATGGTATGACATCATCATTTCGGTCTGCACAGTTTTTTTTCTTTTATTGTTTTTTTTTTTTTTACACATGTGGGCATCCAAAAGTAGAAGCGTGAAACATGAAGGAGAAAACGTGATGTACATGTGAGACGGTGACCTCCAGACAGAGCCGAGCACGCGCTCCCACAACTGATTGCAATCAGCCGAACCTGTGAGGGGTCCCCACAGCGGACGAGAAGGGGGTCAAGTACGAGAAATCCAGAGAGAAACCCGAACGGATACCAAAGAAAACACCGGAAAAGAGCCTGTCAGAAGGTTTCAGATTGAGGAGCAGGACCGCTGCCAAAAAAGGTAGCCACAGGCCCGACCCCTCACACAGGACCGCTGCGTTCTCATCTCTGGAGGCAGCGAGAGACGGGCTGTCCAGAGAAGAGAGAGTGTGTGTGTTGTTTATCAGCTTCTCTTTTTCTTGGTCTTTCTCTTGTCCTCTCAGTTGCATTACATGTGACAACTGAGAGCATACTATTCGACCAAATCCCTGGGCCACATGCCTCAGCGCATTTTTCCACTGAAATGTGTTTTCACTTATTTCTGCAGAGAGGGTTCATGCTCTAAGCTTCTCTTTCCTCAGCACTGCTTCTTTTCTCTCTTGCCTACCTTGTCACACGTTTGCAGACACAAAATTCTCTTTCGATGATAGAAAAGACAGAAAAAAATCACCTGCCAGGAGAGAAAAAAAAAAAGAAACTGATGCAAACCTTCTGTTAAACCTTCGGACCGTCTAAGTCCTCCGTTGATTTTAATTAATGACACGTTACATGCCGAAACATGTCTTTGGCGGCTTTGAAGGAAAAGTAGGACATTTTGTAAAAATTATTGTCTTTCTGACGTTTTAAGTCTAAATGGGAAGACTGATATGCTTTCACATCTGTGCATTAAATATAATGCTGCTGCCAGCAGCCATTTAGCTCAGCGCAAAGCCTGGAAACAAGAGGGAAATTTATAGTACGGCTCTGTCGGGCTGTGGTTGCAAAATCCAGCACCTCTGATGGCAAATCCATGCGGGGCATTTTTTAAAGATGATCATCCCGACATATTTTGGGGCTTTTTTGTGTTTTTTTTTGTGATGGTTAAGTAATTGTTTTCCTGTACGGCACATTCAATGAAGCATATTCTCCACAGGCAACAGTTTAACTCCTGTTCTGGACTGGATTATTGTGATTAATCAGGCGGCGCTTGGAACAATTGGTATTTCAAACTGATGAATAATTAAAGATCAATGTCTTTTGAAGAGTATTTTAACTTAAAATAGCACCATGGACTAAAACAGAACAGCTGTCTCAGTGCCTCCTGAGACCTAAAAAGTCAATCTGAGCATTAAAGACAGAATTAACTGTTATAATCTAAGTTTAACTAAGATAAATCTTTTTAGATATTTACACACTTAACGTTCTTTCCTTTTAAATGAAGAGTGATCCAACATGAGACAAAGAAAAACAAAGCTTGGTATATCCATGTGTCTGTCAACATTTCAAGTAAAAGGATGCGGTCTGCTTCTCCTTCAAAAGGAAAAGTCCAGAAGATAAGCAGCACACATATGAGCAGACTGAAGCCATAGTGTCAAGGCGAGCCCGCCCGTTCAAGGGAAGGCACAGAGGATCATGGAGGAACTGTCTGCCTGAGCAGATGGAGACAGATGCAGCCTTACTGTCAAGATCATAAAAGTGCTGGAGGACAATACATTCCAAACAGTGTCAACAAGGATTTAAAGACCACGGCAAACAAAAACAACCGTCTTTACAGAGAGCTTCAGGTTGTATCAGATATGCATGTATCTGTAAAGCAGAAGAAGAAAGAAGGTGAGAGAAAGAAGAACATTTCCTAAATACATAGCTGCCCATAATATCTCGAACATTGAAGGAATTGATTGACTTTGGCAGCAAAATGGGTTTTTTTTGTTTATACCATATGTAGAATGGAGGACCTTCTAATGTTATGCTTCTAAGAAGGAGGATCATCGTCAAAAACAAAACGGTGTCATAGTACTGATGTTTGTTATTAAAAATGATTTTCCTAGCAACCTTTAAACAGTAAAGAGAATGATAATATTTCTCGGTTTCTCTTTATCAGGTTTTGCAATGTGTTTGATCTGAAGTCATTCTTTAAAATCTAAAGTGAAAGGGGAATTCAGGGGATTGATTTAGGGAATCGCAGAAAAGGGTTCAGTTAAAGTCAAAATACCTTGTTATCCAGAGGACAGTCTCAGGTCTGCACAGAGGAACTCTCTCTGCGGGTATCCAGGGCTCTGCAGCAAATGAAGATATTATCAGTTACAATTTTCTTTCTCCATAAAGAAAAGCGCCACAAACTGAATTCAGATTTTTTTTTTCTGGCATGTCAAAAACACACACAGACTGATCAACATCTGTTGGCAGTGGAGGGAATGTCTGCATCTTTGTGGTTTTTTGTCCAACTGGCTCAGCCTCTGGCCTGAGTGGTGGATATTTAGCAAAGATAAACTCAGCTCCTTGTCTCCTCCAGCCCTTTGCAAACAAAGCCCTCGCCTTTGACCTCCAATCTGCCAGCCCGCCGGTATCTCAAACCCACTTCCCTCTTTCCCTTAGTTTCCTGCTTTCTTTAGACTATTTCTTTATCCCATCAAAATCTGAAAGGGGAAGACAAGCAAAGCACTCACGCTTGATGGTGCCGCACGAAGTCTGCAAACTGCCGGTCTTTTGCGTACAGTTCAATTATACGTATCCTGTCTTGGATTTCCTGCAGAAAGACAAGATATCGGCGGTCAAGGAACATTACGCAGACACAGACAGATAAACAGCATTTGAACTGGAATTGGATGAATTGAGAGCATTTTACAATCAGAAAACAACGGTGATAACGTTAATAATCTGGATAGTTTTGGGGTGAAATCGGCAGGACGCTGGACATAGCAAAGCCTTTATCCTTAGCTCTTGTGATAAGGTCAGATTTGAAATGCAGAAATGGAAAGTAAGCTGTGTCTCGCTTACTCAGTAGCATCATTCTGATGCCTTCAAGTAATGTTTAAAATGATTTGGAAGCAAGTCAATGTTTTTATCCACATTGCACATAAATTAGACAAAAGATATCATTAAAAAGTAAAGGCAATTGTGTAGAAAAACAGTAAGCATCTCCTTGACAACATGCCATCCCGTTTATAAGATGGATGCCAGTCACCACACACTTCTCTGGTCAGTTCACTGTTTTCATAAATGTGTCGTATCTCCTCGCTGCTGAAGTCGGTGGAGGCCTCGGCGCTGGCACTGCTGTACACAGCAGCTTCGGGGTAGCGTCTATAGTAGTGGCTGTAACCTGTTGTAGCTTCACTCTCATACATGGGGTTGTACTTGGTTGCTCTCTCCAAAGATGGGATACTCTCCACTCGTCTGCAAAACAAAAAGGGATGTGGGAACAGAGAAATCAGAAACAGATCAACCAGCTTGAAGTTTTAATATTCTAATGAATAGTTCTGTACCGTGTCTGACCAGTTGATTGGCTGAGGTTAACATAATGATTCTGAAAATGCTGTTCTGGGACTCAATGTAAGGGATGGAACAAACCAGAGCAATGCAAAAGAAAAACCACACGCCAAACAGCCAGACAAAGGGACGGCCGACTGATGTAGGTTAAGATGGTTAGAAATACAATGGTGGTAACTTTTTAACCTCCAGACTATAACCATGCCTTATCTAAATGAAAGAATCTATGTTCATTTTCACAGAAAGAAACATTAAGTTTACACAAATTGATTCTGAGAATTTACTATCAGGTTAACCAAATAAAAAAGGTTAAACAATTTTCTTAAAACTTTTTTCTACTTTTTAAACATCAGTTAGATTTTTTCCCAGTACACCATTCAGTTATCTTTCTAAATCTGTATCCAAAAGAGGTCAGAAAGATATCAGGACATTTTTAAAATATACCATTCCGCAGAATATTTTGTTAAAGACATCACACTGGCAAATATTGTAAGCAAACAGCTGATCAATATAATGTTTCATCTTGAAAAAGAGTTTCACCATATGTGGCAGAAAAGGAAAAGACTATTCTGTGGTAGAACCTGGGTCTTTAGTGCAGCTCTGCAATAGCAATAGTTATCAGCGGGTGTGCAAATAAATGTCAAAATTCAAAGAAAGAATGCATCCATGAGCACCAATTTTACCATCTCAAAAGTGGGACAGAAGCAAACCGCCTTTTTGTCTAATACAGTGCATGTAAACTGAAACACATTCAAATTCATTCACGTTTGGAGCATCATTTCACTGCAAATTAATAAAAAGTAAAAATGTAAACAATGGCCGCTATAACATCAATCGAACCCTGTTGAAATGAACATTCATTCTGATCCTGTATTTCTAGAACAGCCGACCTGCTTCATGCTGCGCAAAGTGACGTGAGGCAGATTACCTCCTCATTTACATCTCTAATCAGGGAGGACTGGGAGGAATTTATTTGACTGGTAATCCTCACCGTATGGGATCCTCAGACTCATCCTTGTCATACTGATCCCGTAACGTCCTGGCCAGGAAGAAAAGAACTCCAGACGCTACCAGCAGGAAGCCTGCAACAGAGGCTATCGCTATGCCAACCACCAGTGGCTCAGACACGTACTCCTCACAGTGTTCTCCTCTGTACCACCAGTTCTCCCCAACACGGCACCTAGCGATGAGAAACAGTGTGAGAAAGGGATTTCCACCACTGGAAGGACAAAAACTAAATTACCGAACAACAGTCCAGAAAATAATCTGATGATAAATCACACAAAACACTTTTTGCTTTTCCCTTTAAAGCACTGACAAATTGTCTACAGTCCTGCACGTGTTTTTGCATATTTGATACCTTGTTGTGGAATAAAATCTTATGTTTGTTTCCTGTTTCCATGGAGCAACGTGATACGTTTTGTTGGACACTGTGAGGAAGATTACAATCCAGCATCTGGAGCAGCCAGTATTTTTTATGATGTGGTAGTGGGTGTGAAACAAAGGTTAGCACTCCTTATGGCACGCATTTTCCCCCCTGTCTGTTCATGATCACCCAAGTTAAAGTGGACATTTAAGAGAAAAAGAGAAAATCTGCTGAGTCTAATGCTGGTATATCACAAAAATGATTTTGTTTTTTTTCGTACATAGACACACACACCAAGTCAGAATTCTTCTCCCAAATCATGACCAACCTGCAGATGGCTCCCTGACCAGGGATGATGTCGCACTTGCCATCGTTGAGGCAGAAGTCTGTCTGCAGCTCACAGATGCTTTGACAGGGAAGGCCATCCACGCTGAAATAGCCGGCATTACAGACACACTCAGCCTCGCCTGACCACTTGTTGACTTTACACTCGGCGTACTCGTTGCACGCCTGGAACTTACAGGGATCAGCCTGATCACCTGGAAATGAAAGTTACAAAAGTGCTTCTGTTAATTAGAGAGCTAAACCAAAACAAACGAAAGGAAATTGTTTAATCTGCTTTCATTTTTCACATTCACCACAAACTAATTTAGAATCCCACAGGACATCTTTTTTTTCCCCCACAATTAAATGACTTATGTGTACCTCTGGACACCTACCAAGATGGATGTGATGGTGTATTTCTACTTTACAGACAAGTTATGTCTGACTAAACAGACCAGTGCAGCTAGGACTAATTTTTAATTATGATATTTTCCTCACAAAACTTATAATTTTGACTATTTATCATTCCTACTCCTTAGATGAATAACAGCTGGCAGACCAGTAAAAAGAATTTTAAAAACACAGATTCACTAACTAAAATAAGTCTAAATGAAAATATATGGAATATGGTCTTTGATGACGACTAATTCCCAAATGTATACATTTTTTCAGTAGTGGACTAAAAAAAACAGAAATTGAGACAAAGTACAGTCAGGTGGTAAAATCTCATATAATACAGACCTCTATGAAAATGTTCAGTACGTAGACCAAGAAATGAAACAGGGCATTACAAATACACCGTTAAGTGGGAAAAAAGGGATAGGAGTGTAAAGTGGAGGGCCAAAGGTCTTTTCCAGGAATTCTGCGTCAATACCACATGTCCCAGCCAGGGTGTTGACAAAATCTTTTGCTACTGCCTGCCCTACACCCAGACAGACACAGAAGCACCTGCCAGAATACTTAAAACCACATCTGTGGGAATCAATGCTACAAGAAGTGTCTTTGTGAGCACCGTGATGGCCATAAAGTAACACAAACACACACACACACACACACACACACAAAATGTGAAAACGATACCATCTACACTAATCCGGCTGGATAATTACTTTAAACACGTAGACATACATGCAGCTAATCCTCTCCAATTCCTCTAAGGCAACATGATTCATGCTGGATTCAGCGGTCACTGATACCATAAACGCCGACATGTCTCATAATCTTACACAGAAAACAATAAGCAGAGCTGTACATTCAAATCTACAAAGACTAATATCATTTGAAATTCCAAGGAATAGTGCCAATTAGTTTGACTTTGTTGAAAAGGAAACCAAACTCAAGTGCCTCACGCACAAGTCTTTAGGGCTGGTGGGACTGCACTGACCTCCACTGACCATAGTGTGAAAACCCACCTGACTCCACGTCCAGCGAGTATTTATCGATGGCCAGGTTCATGGTCTGGTAGGCTGTGTTACAGAAGTCTTCCAGGATCAGATAAACAGTGGTGGTGACGCCACGAGCCACAGGCTTCCCAAATTTCATCCGGCTGTTGACCACAATGCTCCCGTTCCGGAAGTTCAGGATCTCCAGGTTCTCAAAGTGACTTAGGTTGGACTGGAGGTAGGGAACAAGCTGGGGGGATTTGAGTAAATTGTTTAAAGTTAGAAATGATCCTGAACTGATGTGTCTGAAAAGCGAAAGTGATGGGAAACGTGTGCGTTTACCAGCTCTAGGAAGCGTTGCTCTAGGGCTTTGTACTCTGCCGAACTCTTGTTAAAGAGATCCTCAGAAAATATCATGTTGGTCACCCTCAGACTGAAGAACACCATCAGAGCTCGTCCGGGGTTTACAGGCATGGCCACGCTGGCCCTGTCAGTGCCGCGTGCCACACTGAACGGGAAACCTGTGCTGCCCTCCTCCGTTTGATTGGTCAAACCATGACCATAATTAGCCACATCATACTCGTGGTCACCAGCGAGGGAATCCTCCAAGTCCTCATCTATTGTCTGGATTGGGAGAAAAAATAAACAATTGTGCCTAGTGACCTCTGATACTTCAGTTCACTGAAAATCTCTAACATTTTGAAAGACTGTTAAGGTAACTTTTGCAAAGAAATCAACATGAAGATGGTTAGAGATTATCTTAGATTCAGCACATGCTCAATCAGCGGTTTTCTTGTTTGGTTCAAAATTGCTTAAGACAAAGCTGAAAATAAAAGCGATGACACGGGAGCAACGGAAAAATGTAAATGGTCCAGAAAAAAAGTTTTTAATTACCTCTTCAAGTGATGGCAAGTCCGGTTGGCCTTCAGAATATGGGGCGATTTCAGAGATGAGGGTGAAAGGCGATTCCCTCACTGGCGACAATGCAGTCGGTTGGGGAGGTGTTGGAGAATTTGTCACCGAAAGCTTGGGGTCATTTTTGCCCACAATTAAAATCTCATCCTCCATAACAGTCTCTGGTGAGATCTCTGGTGCTTGTTCCGCCTCTTCGTCTCCAACAGGAGCTTCAGCAGAGGTTTCCTCCTTCACATCTCCTCCCTCAGTGTTCCCCTCTTCCTCCAAATCTTCCTCTTCAAATGAGGGCTCCTCAGGCTGGGTCAACAAAACCTCGTCCTCAGGCTGTTTGGGTTTAACCTCCTCAGCGGCCGGCTGGATGTCTGTGAGGTTAGGGCTTTCTGGTGTCATCACCACAGGCTGGTCAGCATCGGGAAACACAGCTGTTTCTGCTGCATCTGACTCTGATGCTTTGGTTTCTATAGCTACAGTCTCTGCTGGGGGCACATAGGCACCCTGGCCTTCTTCTTCTGTAGCATCGGTTGCAGTTGTTGATATCCCAAGCACCTCTGGACTCTCTGCCTCATTCACAAAAACCTCATCCAGATGCAGCTCTGTTGCAAGACTTGGTTCTTCATCCTCGTTGGCAGCATCAGCCTTTTCTCTATCTTCAGATAAATCTTCTCTGATGATTTCTTCTGATATCAACCCATCCTCTGATGACGCAATCTCCTCAAGGGGCGCCTCCTCATCTTCTGCAGCAGCTGCAGGTGGTTCAGTTAGGTGGTCCAGATCCTGGAGGCCTGATCCAGACGCTTCGATTTCCACTGGGGATTCAGGCAGCGGGGCACTCGATGGGGGTTCAGGTGCTGGATCCCCTGGCGGGAGCTCTTCAGGAAGGGGTTTCTCGGCAGGAGGAGTCTCTACAGTGATTTCTCGCAACAGGCCCTCCTCCTCGATGCCTTAAAAAAGCAAAAACCCAAGGATCTCCTCTCAAATATACAGTTAACATTTTCCCTGCATCTAAACATACTTTGCCAGTATGAAGATGCCAATGCGATGACTTAGAGATGTAAACTTAAAGTAGAAAATTAACATTTAAAAGCAAAAAAAAAGGTTCAAAGTGTCAAGGTTTAACACTTACTGCCAGCTTCAGGTGCATTGATGATGGTTGCAACGGTAGAAAATAAAATTTCACTCTCTTCCAAGACTACAACGTCCTCTCCTGTTGTTGGAGATGTGCTAGTTTCAGATCGTTCGGGGGGGATGTTATATCCGATGTCCTCTTCTGAGGTCAAAATCTTTGGCAGCTCAACAACAGCAGCGCCCTGTATGAGAAACACGTCTTATTATCTCAACCCTCTGGCATTCATTCACTTCTACATTTCCCCTGATCCATGCCAGACTTAGGATATCTCTGATTGGTCAGGAAAGGGAAGAAAAGTAGAGTTCCACATCTAATCAATCAAATCAGGTACCCCTAAACCTGGTTTAAGAGAAAGCTAATTGCTGGAGTTGACCACACTGAAATGAGTACTTGATGATAAATTTGTGAAAATCCAAGCACCATCAGCAATTAGGAAGGACTTTAGGACAAATCTTTAACAGCGAGAGGGTTCCTGGTCTGGAGGGAACTGGAACCCTGGAACCTTTCTGTGTGGAGTTTGCATGTTGTCCCTGTCTGTGTGGGTTCTCTTGGTACTCTGGCTTCCTCCCACTGTCCAAAAACATAAATGTGAGGTCAATTGGATATTTGTGAATGTGTGTGTGTGTGTGGTTGTTTGTCTCTGTGTGGCCCTGCGATGGACTGGTGGCCCATCCAGGGTATACCCTGGAGACGAGTCCCGTATTTACCATTGTGAATGAATATTTTGTGTTTCCAAGTGTCTGCATTTTGTTTTTCTTTTCATTTTCACTGAATGAAATGAACAACTCTTCTTTAGGCTCTTTGACAAAAAACACTCTCTGTGAATATGTGGATCAATGTATCATGTATGGGAAGATGCTGGTGTTTCACATAACTATTGTTAGCTGGCTCAGATGAGAAGTTCCTGGTGAGTATTCACTCCCACTATTGTAGATCAAATCCTCAGAAAATTTGACTTTGCCCATTAGTACAAACACTTTCGCTCCTCGCTATTTACGATCACATTTTCTCTTCAGCATATCCAGTAAAAAAAGCTATTGAATGGAATGGCCAATCTGAGGCCCTTTCAGACATCTAAAACTATCATTTCCAATGAAAACCAGAGACTAGGTACAATGACATTTGATATTCAAAGTTTCTTCAGATGCAGAGAAAGTTTTTTTGTAAGGGATGATTGATATTAAGAGCACTTGTCCTTTAGAGTTATTTATAAAATGGTGCCCTTGAAGCAACATGGTCAAAAGTGGAAATACTCATCGTCATTCTTAAATTCTTTTGCTTTGCCCCTCATGCCGTGCTGAATAATTCATAAACTTCACACAGCAGAGCTCCAAAGGACGATGGAAAAGTCTGGAATTATTCTTATGGAAATTAAGGCTTTGACTAGTTTTAGCTTCATCTGAAATCCAAACCAGGACAGAAAAGTTATTAAGTGGCACAGTGCTGCTCAGTAAACTCTCAGATTCAAAAACTTTGGACCTCATCCATCTCTTACAAAGTATCGAAGTGCTGACTTAAACGGCTATGGCTGCTGTATAAAGTGAAACAGCTGGCACATTCCAAACCCAAGTTGGCATTAAACAGCCAACCGCAAGGCACCATGAGTAAAAGCAGACTTTTAACGGTTTCAGTTTCCTGAACAAACCTGCGTGCAGTCCATCTTCTGGACATGGAATGGTCTGTTGTCTTTGACCCAGAATAGCAGTGGATTATTACAGCAAGAGCCACCCTAATCCTCAAAGCTTCACCTCATCCTTCCCGGTGAGCTCAACCCCTACCTGCGCTGGGGAAGTCTGGATAGCATCTCAAGCCATACTCAGGTTATCGCAACATCAGTCATGCTGCAAAGGTCAGATTCCTTACACATGAACGATATATATCAAATTTGCAGAGCTTAAAGTAGCTGGATTTCCAGCAGACGGATTGTCGTCAGTGCACTTTTGGAGGTTACTCACTGTGGGTTTTTCATCAGTGGTGATCTGCGCAGGAATCTCAGACACTGAGGATGAAACAAATATTAGTACATACAGTCTCATAGAAGTAAAAGAAAATTCCAGCCAATCTCAATTTATAAAATTCTCCTTAACTCTAATTGGCTCAACACTGCCGTTCTTCTTCAGTCCTTAATATCTCCAAATTAACACTACAACAGTGTCCCTCACTTTGGGTCATGTCAGGTTTTTTTTCTGCAGCACAGTCAAAGCAGAAAAGCAAAGCTGAGTCGTGTCTTTCCGCTCCTCTGACCACACATGTTGACCATGTGAGAGAGTTTAGCCGACATTTCAGGTGTCCCAGCCTGTAACTAATGCGAGCATTACAGGGCATTCATCTCCGGAGCAGTTTAGTTCACTAACAGTAAACTAATTCCACGCTTTCTTTTAAAAAAAGAGCATGGAGAAAGCTCACAGGAGCTAAAAGAGATGGTATATGGTATAAACATTATCGCATGACTCAAACGCTCCTGCGAAAAGAAGTTAACCTACTTTCTGACTGCCCATTCCACAAATGTGTTTGTTTTATGGGAACAGGACATTTAAGGAAGTCCAGTAGTTGTACTTGAACAAACTTGTTTTATTTGTGTAGTCGAAATTCAGCCAATATTATAATGATAAAGATTAAATTTTAGTATTTACTTTATCATCTCAACTATAAATCATTCATGCTGCAACACGTTTGATTGTTAGAACAGTGTTATGAAGAATCTGTGAGCTACAGATTCCACCTTTAGTCAGAAAAGAACAAGAACCAAACAACTCTGCCAGAGCACTGCGGCAAAAACATTAACAGCCACCGAATAGGGATCCACATCTATCAAGCAGAGTTCTCTAGAGTTTTCATGTCAAAGGTCAATATCAGACCAGTTAATGTGGAGCCTCTTTTTAAAAAAGACTGCAACTGAAAACCAAAACCACTGAACGGAGTCCAGTGAAACCAATAATGGGAAGGCATCATTTGGTAACAGTTGGTACCAGAACCTTGTTTTGCCAAGGAAGCCAGCAGAAGCGTTTGTTATTTGTTATAGCAGCGTGGTTACCTGTAGTTCCAGCAGACCATCTGTGGTCTCGAAATAAATAAATATGACAACACAAACATTTGCCAAACACTTATGAGACACCCAACATCTGGTGGTTCACTTAACCTCTTTTAAACGGTCAATGATCGTGAGAGTCACAATTCAGTCAGTCAGTGAGGTGTTCTTTAAGGTTAACTGTAAGTTCGACAGTGTGTGAGCCAAAATGGTGGATTAAAGTCGTGCCTTAAAAGAAGGCCTACCCCATGGGCTCTGATCTGATTTGCAGACTATTTAATGACGAGGATTTAGCCGTACGCCAAAATAAATACGCTCTTTTTATAAATGCTTGCTCATCTCACCACTCTCCGGCTCGCCGGCGCGAGGAGCCTCGGAGAAAACGCTTTTGGCCTCCCTCATGGTGTAGACGGCGGTGGGGCGCTCCTCACTTTCCCGATAGGAGTTCTCCACCAGGTTGGACTGCAGGGTGAGGTAGTTCAGCTGGTCGGAGCTCACGCCCGCCCCGTCCACCACCACCGTGACCGCGTAGTCCACCACGATGCCGTCCAGCCTGGGGACACGAATGTCAACATGTTACATCGAGGCTGCGCAGTGGTCAGGTGTGGACAAAAACTCCTCTGTGGAAGGTTGGCGGGAAAAATGTGTTCCCACATTATCCGATGTCACAGTTTGACTTTATTATTCAGCCAGTTCTGAGGTCAGAGCAACTTTTATTCATCTTGTAACCGTCATAACCGTGAAAGCACTTTTGCATGAAGTGACATTGATCTTAAGTGGAGATTCGAGGTATCATTGGCGGAGAGAGAGAATCATTGTCTGAGACCAAGTAAAGTGCTCAAGTATTAACTTGATTCAGCATCAGTCCCACAGAACCAACAGCGTGGCCTACACATGACTGATGACTCCAGTAATTCATTCATACCTGGAACGAAGGACTGTATAGTGCAAAAAACAGCCGAGTCAGGAGAATTATCATTATCATCATAATAAACATGGAAACCTCACAAGGGACTCCTGGCCTTGGAAAAAGCTATCCATCAGCCCTCATTTGACGACTGGGAGCTCTCCACTCTGACCCAGTTTGCTGGGTTGCTGGCAGACAGCTGAGCACGTGCAGGCCCAATGTTGGCCCCATTTTGAAAGATATCCACAAAAAAAAGAAAGAAAAAGAAAAAAGGAAAGCGATCCAGAGCGACCCATTTTAGTCTCACAGACAGGCAGATTGTGTTCTTTTCTCACCATGGCCTGTTATCTGCATTAAGCACTCAAATATAAGTTATCGACGTGTTTCTTTACATTTATGACCCAATAATGCATGGAAAGTAAATTCATTGTATTTCGGTCATATTTAATATAAACTTCTGACAATGTGATATTTGATATATTAACATAATTTATGTGAAAATAAAATAATTATGAATATGTAGCCTAATTTAAATTAATAAACAAAGACTGGGAACAGGGAAGCACCCGACCCTGTTTTTCTCTAAAAGAAACAGAAGAAGTACATAAAAAAAAACATTAGCCCTTGTGTTTGACATGTTGAAAAAAAAAGTTTTCAAAGCAGCTGTTTTATGGGGAATATTATGTGCAGGACTTTTTCTTGGCTCAGTAAAGACTCCAGGAGGTGTTGGTTGAGCCAAAAACAGTAAGACACAATGAGAATAAAATGTTGACTTGTAATTTCTGCTGCCCTGTTTTTATCCTGATTAAGCAAACCATTATAAAGGTTAGCATTGCTTAGATCTGCAACAGGACAACCTCTGTTGTTTTCAGAACAAAGATCTGTTTCTTTCTGTTTCCAGTCTTTCTACCGTGCTAATGAGGGGCTGTCTGCAGTTTTATGTACACCCACTGTCACAACATTAAAATCACTGGCAGATGAAGTGAGCAACTCTCCTTATTGGGCTGCAATTCATATTCTGTCTGGAAAGCCGGCCTGCTGGCATTTGCCTTAATGCTGTTTTGACATTTGCCACCTACTTTAAATGTGTTTTCAGATGAGTCACCCCTTTTCAGGATGGACTCCAAGAAAACAACAAACTTGTAAGTAAGTTTGCAAATTTCCACCTGGGATCTGCAGGCATGTGTGGGAAACAAGCCAAGTCCACAAAAACAGGACCTCGTATCTCTTCCAGCAGATAAAGACATCCTCAGATGTTCTTTTTTCAGCATAAAGAGAACTCTGCTGGGATTGGATGGGTCAAAATTTATGATGATGAGGATGAGCCACATTAAAACTGATATCAAAGCCCCTTACAGAATAAAACGAGGCCTGGACCTAACTGATTTGTATGGTTTTTGATAACGGAAACAGATGCAGTTGAACATTTCAGCACTACTGACAAAAAAAATCTATCTAAAAAATATCTACTCTTTTGAACATATTGCAGTAAGATGCAGAACAAACTGGTTCAAACCCATTTTATTTCTACTAATACTACAACCTCCAAGTATCGTCTCTGTGGATATGTGTTCACGGTTTATTTAGCAATTTTTCTCTTGACCCACACCCTATAAGATGCCTTTTTAATCCTCTTCCGCTCAATCTTTGAACCGGATAGTAATTGTTGAGGTCAGAAAGCTCCGCTAATCGTCTCCATAGAGAAGCCCCTGCTTACTTTTCAGAACCCATCCTGATCCCACTTAACAGGTGAGTGACTGCACTAACACCATTAACACGGGCAACTAGTGATACATCCTAACACGTGCTCTCTTCACAGGTTTGGAGGTCTAATGAATGATGGGGATTAAATACAACCTAACATGTGGGAAAACTATTCTAGGTCAAAGAATAACTACTAATAACTCACCCTTGAGGGTCCTTCTGAGGCCTGTACAAGACATGGAGGAGCTGTTAAACTTCTGATCAGAGCACAGGTGGTATAAATTGAACAATATGTGAATCGTTTGGCATAATTTGCTGTTTGTGGTTTGATAAATGAAATTGTAATGGAGAAACTGACCTGAAGTCGATAACAGACACACTTTTATATCCAGGAAGCCCCTCAAGAGCATCTTCTATCTGCATAGACAAAGATATCAGGCGTTAGACTAAAAATACATCCCATTTATTTCTTAATTTGAGAGAGTTATCATGAATTTGCCTGGATAAATAAGTCTTATTGTTTTTTTTTTCAAGGGACTCATTTGATTCAAAGTTGTTGAAAGGTCTTTTGTGCTTTAGATAGCATCATTATTCTAAAATCCCAAATTCTTCTTTCAGTAAACTCCTGTGCATCTTTTTTTTCTTAAAAGAAATTCTTCGCATAAGGAAGAAAAACAACGCATACATTGTTCTGCTGACCCAGTTTCAGCTTTGTTTTTTTATTAAAAAAAAGATGGATGCATGGGTTTAAGGGCCTTGAATCCACTGACTTGCCTAAAATCCTTCCCCAATGCACCAATTAATCTAAATCTTTTAGTCCCTGTCCTCTCCAGCTCGCATGTTATGCAGGATGAGTGTTGGTATGCAGGATTGGGTTTGACGGTGTTTGCAGATTTATGTGTCCAAGAAATCTCCGCAGAGAATGGAAAGAAGGTCAGGAAATCAGGAAAAACAAGACCACAGTCATCACAAACACACACACAATTCAGCGTAAAATAAAAAACATACTGGTTGGGGCATTCTGTATAATATCATTGTCATTTATAAGTGTGTACTTGTATCTACTGCACTACAAGTGCAGGTTCATTCATTCATTCCATGTGCATCTCATCAAGCTGCATTTTCAGTACACACCACTGGGCTGTGTCCCACAAAAATTAAAAGTAAAATGTACCCAAGCTGAAAACCCAATAAACCGCAGAACACATGTGCGATAAAACAGCAAACTAGGTCAACGAGAGAAAAACCTTTGCGGCGATGTCTCTGCTTAGCGTCTGGAACCGAAGGCTGGCTGGATCGTTGAGCTCGTCGCTGAACGTCTCACCGGTCAGGAGGATGCTCAGCTCCACCACCTGCTCCAGCACAGTGGTGGCCGTAGGCTGCACGGTGATGTCATTGAACAGCTACGCAATAAGAAACAAGGGAGACGTCTCACTGCAGGTGAGGGCCGGATATGTTTAGAGCTTCATATTAGAAAAAAACAAGCTGCGTTTAAACTCACTGGACTTTCTTCCACTCCTGCCGAAATGGCAGCTGCATCAACCCCCGGTTTTTCTTCACCTTTGTCTTCTTCTGGTTGAGGTGATATGCAAAGGTGATAGAAGGAGGTGAGTGCTGGCTAGGGTTAGTGGCACCACTGCCCAATGGGGTCATAGCTGATGGATGTATGGATTACACTGTCCTGACCCTGAATTCTCTCTTGATCCTAGGCTGGCCTAAGGCCAACCTTGCACACCAATCACAGAGAAGGATTCCTTGACATATAACGTGCAGAGTTCACAGCTAAGAATACTACAGACTCAGAAACCACACGCCAGATAACAGGTTGCTGTAAACAAATCTTAAAACCATGGAATTTTGCTAGCAGCACGCTCGTGAATGGGTGAGTGGGACTGACCTAACTTAGGAGCTTCAATCGTTTCTTGTGTCGCTGGGGTTGGCGTGCTGTAAAACATTAGTAGGTTTGCTGAAGCATGGTTAATGCATTACAAAATCAGTTTAGAAAATACAGACATTTTGCACAAGGCTGTGCACACAGTGGGTCAAACTTATGGGAGGAGATTGTAGCATGAAAAATAAAAAAAATTGACCAAAGCCTGACGTGATCCTCGCTTTCTTATAAAACCATTTCAGTAGTGCACATTAATGGTTTTATAATGTAAAAAAACACAATTACTAGCAAGAGATGATCTCTTATTGGTGCAGTTTCGATCGGTAAAATTTGACTACATGAAGAGTTGTTTAAAGGTACAACTACAGTTTTCACCAGCCATGTAACGCATTCCAAACACTACTTTGGCAATGTTTAGCAGCAAGATTAAATCATCTTTTAAGTTAGTTATAGCACGATTCTTTAGCAGTTCTGTTCGTTTATCATCATTATTCATTTTAAGAAATACTATATGCACGAGTTGAACATTTTGAAACTGTAGCCTTGGATCCCCCAAATACTATTAATTAATGTCAAGGCCAAGACTAAATCAGCATCATCTCAAATGGATCAAATCATCACTGATGAATTCATCCATGTAACATTTACATGTGTGTAAAAAATATATAGGTAAAGATTCAAGTTGAGCAGAGCAAGGGCACAACTCAATTAATGGTTAATGGCATTTAATGGTTGATTTAATGGCATTTATTGGTTTAAGGAAGTCAATTAAATAGATCATTGTAATCAAGTTCAGCCACTTGCAGTGCTTTAACTATTTGTTCTTCAAATAGTATGTCGCAAATACTTATGATGAAATAGAATATTGCCCAAAACACTATCCTTCTTATGAATATTCAAGATATGCTTATAAAATGGAACACATAAATCCGAAACAAACAAGTGAGAGATGTGAAGTCACGTTTTAATACGTGATGAGTGAGAATTTGAGCAGGCGTTGTTAAGGGGCCTTAACAACCTTACCTGCACATATGCTGCCAGGACCTGTTGGGCTCACTGCAAGTAGTGGGAAGAATGATCATTTACATGACACAAACCTAATGATGTGATACTACATGTTTCACTGAAACGGTACAAAAGTAACAAATGCAGTTGCCCTCACCTTTTCGAGCCTGAATGTGACATGATCTGAAAAAGAAAAACAGTAAGGAGAACTAAATTTACCCATCCCGCAAACTCATTTGTTCAATTTTCGAATTTTCTAAAAATTGACTCGTCCACCAACCTGTTTAACATGAGCCCGATGCTCCTCTGATTGGCTGAAGTTTGTGCCCATGTCTCGTGCTGTGACTGTCCCCTCCTGGCACTGGCTCATCCAGCTTTGGTACTCTGCTTGTTCGGGGACACGATCCCAGAAGATCTTAAAAGCCTCCCATATGGTCTCCTGACATACTGGTCAGAACAGAGAAAATATTCACTTACTGACAAAACTTAATCAAAACTTCCTAACAGAACTTCAAAGCTAACGTTTTACAGATTTCGAATCATGCTCATATAAACGTCATTACTGTGTGTGGTTAGGTATTTGAAATAGAATATGTCAAACTGAGTCAGCTCTACATCAGTCCAATGTCCAGAGGCATCTTAAAGTTTCAAGATGAAAAGCACATAAAGGCTTTAAGTTCTTGCGCCATGGAGGACTCGCTCCAAATGTTTGGTAAAGTGTCACTTAATCTTAACCAGCTGCCCGATCCTGAACATCCTCAGCTGACTCCAGTCAATGAGGATGAGGAGCAACGGCTCTGGTGTGGGCTCCATGTGGACGATCAAGCTGCTCACCTTATCTTTAAGCCCAGCCACCCTCCCAGAGAGAACAGTTTCCACCATATCTCCTCATTCTTTGTCACAACCCAGATGTTGCCATCCCTTTTGGACAAGATCCTGAGATGCCTGAGCTTCTCCTTTTGAAGCGGACTTATCTATGACCCATAAACAGCGCTCCGCCTTTTGCCTGTGGAGAACCATAGCCTTGAATTCGTAGCCAAGTACTCTCATCCTGGCCAGTTCACACCAGTCCCACAAACCAACCCAAGTTCCCAGTGAAGATCATGCCATCTGCATAAAGCTAAGCTAAAACCCTGAGGTTCCCAAATCGCCTACATTTCCCAAATGGCTCCGTTTTGGAAGCCCCGGCAGAGTCTTAGACTCACTGTGTCTAAGAACAAGCTCAGCTCTTGGTTTGGGTTTAAAGGGACTGAATAGCTGGCAATAGGGACTCTGGAGTTCCATATAATGGACGCATTTTTAAGTCTTCTCCAAGTCCTCCAAACAATTGTATGCTTCATGTATACACTAATACTGTCCAGAATTAAACAATTCCGTGGTGTAAAGTATAACGGCCTTTCGCAGGATTTGAGAGATTTGGATGCCTATCACCATTTGGATGCTGACCAACAGCATGGGTTTAATCAGCCAGTTAACCTGCATTCCATCAGCTTTACCAAAGGCATAAAGGGGACCTTTAACTATCTACACATGCTGTGGTTTAAATGGCTTGGGAGGAAGTTCTTATTTTAAGTGTTCTCCTGGCCTGACCCAATGCTTTTGTGAACACAAGCGTAGTGCTGACATGAGCATCTAAATCGGACCCCGATGCCCAAGCCAATGGCCAAATTTATAGAAATACATTTGAACAAACTATAGTAAACAAGATGAACAGGAAAATATTCATATTAGTAAGCATTTCTGTAGATGTTGTATCAATACAGCTATCAGTGCAGAATGACTACATTTTTCCTTCCCAATCAAGATTAAATTGCATCTATAGAATATTCAGAGATGCAATTACCAACACTATACATGTATTTGGGTGTATTTTTTCTTCATTTTTCCTGTTTCGGAGTGAAACCATTCATTTAATTGATTATGACAGTTATTCTTCCTGTTTGGAATCTTAGCCAGCACTGATTCAATGTTGTTATCAGTTGACATTCCTGACTAGAACCGTTTTTCTAACATTGCATCAAGGCTTTGTCTTATTGGATCCTTTCCTGACTGAAAGTCTGACCCCTTTGTTTGTTGAGGGGAAAAAAGAAAGAAAAGGATTTGAATAGAATAATTCTTTTTTTGGTTATTCAGGTTAGCTCTTCAACATGCAGAGGTTTCCCCTCCAGCAACAATCAACCCTCCAAGCACGCGTTTGTTTTACTCAAAATTCGTCATTAAAGAAAACACATGCCTAGCCATACCCGTGGCTACGGATGTCAAGTCTTCCAGAGAGACACAACATGAGTTGCAGCTTACATCTCAGCAGTCTTTCCTCTAAAGATTACTTAACTTCACATCTGACCTGTGCAATCTTGCTGTTTCACATCACGTAGTACAAGCCCCACCCAGCAAGGGCTTAGCACTGGTTTCTCCAGGCTTCTGGGTAGGCCGTGAAGGCTATCTGACCTTGCTTGGCTTAGTTTGTAGGTGGTGGTCTTTAAACTCGAGACAGCTATCCACAGTCACAAGACTGATGTCTTAATCCTACTTGCGCCTACAACGCAAAATACCTTGACACTGTGGCCTCCAGTGCATTTATTTGCTGCTGACCTCACTCCCCGGTGCTTCCATCTTACCTCTGAGATGAAAGTAGCTCAGATGGTTCGCAACAACTTGCTCAGCGGTCTCTTCTCCGCACGGTTTGAGTCCGCTCTGATAGAAAATGTTCCTCTTCTGGCGAGAAATAACTTCTTGGCCTTCAGGAAACGTCTTCACATCAGACACTCGGATGACGTGTGGAAACACCTCAGGCTTCTGAGCGAGAGGCCAAGCTAGATATCCCAAAGAAGGGTCTTCAGGTGCTGCATCTGCAGTAACATCAACAACACAGAAAAGTTAGCGTTTTTCCATTAACATGCCGTGAGGAAAACGGTTGGGTAATCAGTTCAAAACTGATACATACCTGTCCATCTGTTTAAAACTATGGAGAAGAGAGTAACTACAACAGAACAGATAGCGCCTTTCCAGGATAGGGTGCCCATGGTAAATCCGTGATCGTGTTTAAATCCGTGGACTTGGAAAAGGATCAAGAAGATATGTATTTCCCCTCAAGAAATGTAACAGCGATGTGAACAACTTCCTACTAGTTTGCATAGTTCAGTATTCTCCAGATGCAAAATAATGAAAAATAGAAAACATTTGACAACACAATCTTGCTGGATTCTTGCCTCCCGCTGTAGTTACAGGAATTTCAAAGGTATGTGACAGCACAGAGGACCGCTCCAGGCTCAGGTAAATAGGCAGATGGCTTGTAAAGAGAGGGGGATTTTTTAATGCTCTCTAATCTTGTTTACGTTAAGCCTGTTAGTAGAGCTCGCCAAGAAATTACTGGAGCAACCGTGCAAAGGGAGGGCCCTGATTGTGGCGGAGACATTAAAATAGATCCCAAAAACTGCACGGAAACATCATGCTGAGAGATGGATCAACACATTGGGACGACCGGGATAAAGCTTTGTTGGGATTCAATGTGGCCTATGAGAACTTTTGATTCTCAGAGCAAATGCTTGAAATGCCGTCACTCAGTTGAAAGGTGGTCCCTTTAAGCGCCATGCCATCAATATCCCCTCCCACGTGTTCAAATGCATAGGGATAATAGAGGACATGGGAAAAGTAAAAGGCACCAACTGTTAGTCACACCCACTGAAATCCTCTGACAAGATACGTAGAGGCAACAGTGAAATGCTGAGCACAAATAGTTGTCTTTTACCTCCTTTGTATCTCCTATTAACCACGTTATATTCCTGAAAATAAAGGAACCATAGCCATAATATATCATGAGACAATTAGCTTCTTTTTTTTAATTTATTACACAAATATGCGCCTGAAATTATTCATTCTCTTGTTTACCTTGGTAATATTTGTTTTCTGGTCTGTTTAGTTATTTGAAATATACTATGGATTTCTATTTTCCTCTAATAGTTCTGAGTTTGGCATTTGTTGTAACCTTTTTATTAGGTTTTTCTACTAATGGTTGTGGTTGTTGTTTGTTTTTTTCAGTTTTACAGAAGCCCTTTCGCTGGCATGTTATAATGTAGTGATTTTATGCTCAAGGGTGAAACCACCAGTAAGCCAAAAACCCTCCCAGTGACAATGCCGACCTGTTGGCTAACATTTTCAACACCTCAGACTGCCTGCTTGCCAACATTTTCTATCAGAAAAAACAAAAACATCACTACATCTTACAAAAAAAAAGATATTTTTTATTATTAAAGGTTTGATGCCAAAAAAGAAAAGGTTCAACAGCACTAAGTCAACTGACTTATGACAAACATTTTCTAACACATTTTAAAGATTGCATTCATAAAGATTTCTTTTCCCCAGACCAAGTAAGCTAATTAAAGTAGTGTTACACATGACCTTTTTGTCAAAGGCACAAAGCCAATATCCTGCACAGTCACTGCTGTTTTGCAACAGGTGTCTGAACATTGTTTAACTTTGTGTGCGATTGATCCTGTAAACTGAAGTAACAGAGCCAAGAGCATGGCACCGGCTTCGTCCTGGTGGTTCAGATTAATTAGAGGAGTTGCCGAAGCTGCCATCCTCTGCCTCAAACATGACCATACGCGAAACTGCGTGCTTACAGTTGGGAGGGGTTAGCTATCCACGGAGTTTTGGAAAATGTAAGCGCTGTTTTGTTTGAATAGCCGTGACACTCCGCAGCGCAGATCAGTGTGAGGATTATTGAATCAGACAGTGAAGGGATCTGACTGGGACAGTAAATGCGCCTAAGATGACCATGTAACACTGTGGACAGATTATTGTGGCAAGCCCTAGCAAACTAAAGGTGCTTTCAGATTACACTTTCTGACCTAGAGGAAAAGTGTTGACTGAAGAGATAGATTTGGTGATAAAAGAGAACACTTCAATGCTACGGAAAATGCTGCATTGTGCACATGTTGCCATGTTACCCTGAAGGGAAAGAGCAAAAAATCTAAATTATACCCCAAACCTAGCACAGCTGCAAATTTCAAGACAACAATCCATCAAACAGGTCTTCTGTGAAGTGTTTTAAAAGTTAAAAAAAAGGAATAAATGATTAATTGAATTAGTTTTATTACATTATGTCCAAATACATTTGGATAAAAATAAAAAAACAGAGCATTGGAGATGCTGTAATGTAAGAAAACAAATAAAACACAAAAATAAAGGAATCAGCTGGATTTCTCTTTGACAAAATGAATTCATACAAGACTAAAGGACTGAAGTGTCTAAGGTGGGTCTCAAGCCTCCATATGAAAGCTGCACTTACCACTGTAACTGGGCCCCGAATCCCTTTGAAGGATAGACTCACACGAACAAAATTAATCTATCTTGAATGTTTAGATTTTAAAGAAAAGGTTTGAGTTCTCATAATATGCACATTCATATGATTTACAACCAGGCTGCAGCAAGCTTTTGCCAAAATGTTTCCATTTTTGTCACAAAGTACAAGTCAGTTGTTGGCCACATCTCTTTCTATAGGGAATACCCGATTGGGTGCAAAGCAACATGATAAGAAAGTTTTAATCACACAGAGGTGTGTATTGTCTTTAGATATGTGATAGATTGTAGTGAGTTTGCAGGTAGCATAACAGGAGCTTCACTTCATCGCAAAGGCTGCTATGTTCTCTGAGGAAAAGTCCTGAATATTCAAGCAAATTATTTCTCATTTAGTTCATGTGGACTGATGCTATGAATCAGAACTACTGTTCTTAGAGTGGCAGTGACTTAAAACCTCTGAAATGAGCAATAACTTGTAGTCACACAGAGCATAACGTGTCTAACAAATGTCATTAAAACTTAGATCAGTATATGGTTTTGACTTCTGGGCTACAGATAGAAAACTAAATGCAAATATTTTTGTAATAAAAATCTACCCGGCATAAAAACAAACTTTAAAAGTCTTGGGGTGTCCGAACCTTTAACATATGGGTATGTACTTTAAGTCTCTTTGTTTCAAGTTACATTCTACTTTATGTGAAGTAAGCTGATGTCTGCACAAGACCCAATCGTTCCAAAGATTCTGTGTCACGTTGAAAATGATCGCTTTACCAAAACCTAAATTAAAGAACTAGCCTCAGTTCAAACTGAAGTGTCCAGTTGCTCAGTATGAGCAGTGATATGCAATGGCTACAGGAATTAGCATAGCTCGACGAGGGATTTACTCCGCGTATTCATCATCCAGCTTCTGATGTCGATACAGGTTGAGAATCAGATTTCGGATCTCGTCTCTTTTCCTCCGAACCTGCTGCCGTGGGAACCACTGTTGTAGATGTAATGGGAGGTCAAAGTGTACCACAGGATCCTGAGAAGACAAGCAAAATGATTGTGTGTGCGGTAAAAACATTGCTATCAGCTCAGCCCGTCTGTGTATGTCTGTGTATATAGATCAAATATCTACCTTTAAAAAACACTCCACATACTGGAGCAGGTAAAGGCCGCAGTCACTGCTGTTGTCCTGAAGGGGGACTCGACAGTGTGAGCTTTTCATCTGGTCGGGACCAAAGTCCCTTGATGAACTACGACGGACCTCCCACTCCGACTGCAAGTACCTGGGAGACGAACATGTGTTGTTACGAGCACACTGTTGAACGCAACGGCCCACGAGTGGATCAACGGCCTCTTACTTACTCCCGTAAGAGTTTGAAGACTCGTTCGTGAAGGGAAAGCTTGAGGGAATCCATGATGAGAATGCATGGCCTGCACAGAGGAGGGGTGAAGAAACAACTGCTAAGTCTACCAAAGTTTCACCTCACGTCTTGTCATTTTTCATTGTAGACAGCTCGTGGTCAGGCACATGAACATTTGTGATGTGTCAGAACATCCAACTGGTTTGAATGCAAGCTTGTTAGCTAGCTTAATTTTTTTAAGGAACCAACCACCACATGTTGATTCTTGTTTCATTTCTTTTCCAATCAATAACTAGTATTGCCACTTGGTCTTCCAGTACATACAGCATCCCCTCACTGTGGGCAGGATTAGCTATTTTTCAGATCAGAATTGGTCCAATATATATATAAGGACAAAGACTGAGTGGCATCAAGCTCAGTTCAAACAAACATCAATCTGTAATCTGGTTCTCTAGTGTTTATTAGTAACACAAATGAGAAATCTAGGATTAATTCTATTCTGTGAGTAACTAAAACGTATAGGCTGATATCACACATTTGGTACTAGCTCATCATACACCAACAAAACTGTCCAAGACAACCTGATAAAAACAAACTTTTAAAATGGCACTGGGCCTTGTGTATAAAGCCGTCTCTGTGGTGGCAAAGCAGCCAAACTCACCTCTTCCATACCGTCTTTCTTTTGCATGTCTGCTCTGTGCAGCTCTGCAAACAGAGATAAGATTACATAACAGCACTCTTAAGAGGAAACAGGTTTGAGGAAAAGAAAGTTGGAGGAAAGTTAAACGCAGGGTAGAATATTCCTTACTACTGGACGAAGTGGTGAGTCTTTGGTTGTTTCTTCTTGAGTTTTTACTGTAGATAGGATAGAAATAGAAGTCAAAACAGTCTGGGGTCTCGTTGGTGTGAAAGACAAACCCAGATTAAAAAGATGTGTTTACCCGTTTCTGTGTCTGCTCCGTCTCTCCGTTTTAACACCGAAGGCGTTGCGTCATCACCATTAGGGGCTTTTTCGTCTTCGGCCTCTGACCCTTGTATCCAGTCCTCGAATTTGGGCTGATCCAGTCCAGGAAAACAGATAACAACTAAATACCAATGAGCTCTAAAACATCAAAAAGGGAAAATGTTCAGGTGTATCATTAAAAAAAATATTTTTTGATGGCATCTCTGTGTATTGAACTTACTCCTGATTGACGGGAACAAACAGGAAGTCTTTGTTGAAGATGTCCACATGTCGTGTCCACGTCTTGACCCGTTGGTGTCGCCTCTGCCTCTGACAGGTAGGTGTACTGAAAAAGACAATAATGGCTTAAATAACTCTGCTGCGGAAGAGTTTGGTACCTTGTGCATCAGTTTTAAAATAAACGCGGCCCCTTTTCAGTTTCAACAAATAAGAAGTTGTACGGTTTCCGATTAGATTAACGGTTTGAATTTCTACAGATCACAATTTTTCAATGGGTTTTACGCAGCAATACACACACAGATGTTTTGAAATGACCAACTCAACACTGTGTGACGTGCTTACGCGTCGCTGCTGCCGCCCTCGCTGGCATTGTCCCTGCGTGTCAGCTGTTTGTAGAAGAAGCTGCTGAAGATGTGGGAGCGCTCGGCCATGGCGGCCGAAGCATTCTGGAGGAGGTATCTGGTTAAGAACCACATCAGGGAAATCAATTCATCTGACATAGTTCCGCATTCTGATAACAATTTGATTTGTGACTATAAACATATAGAAAGTATAGTATTAAGCTAGGTGCACTGGCGAGGATGAGATCCCTGCTGAATGTTATCATGCACTGGGAGACAAGTAGCTCTCTTAAATCATTCCTTGTAGCATTTTAGGTCAAAATGTCATTACGCTTTGTCCATATTTACATATTTCATGGAGGCACAGATGTGTCAGTGATGATAAATGAATGTAAAGCCTGTATTTGGAGCACCTCAGTTTGCCACTTTGAGATACTAAATATGTCCCCTACTTGAGATAGAAATCGATGATGACATCATTGAGATACTGTCCACTGTCTAGGCACTGCAGGTCCTCCATTGTAACAGTTATCCCTCCTTTCAAAGGAGGCGGAGGAAACTGGATCAACCTAAGTAGAGATGAAAGGGGTTACAAGAAGCAGGCAAGACCAAAGAATATATCCTGAAGACAGCCGACGTCAAAAGCGATGCATGCGTGGAGGATGCTGCAGAGATACGCGGGATAAGCTCAGCACACACACAGCAACCGGTGGGAGGAAGGATGCAGATCGTAGGGAACTTGCCTGCGAGCCAGACCCTGGTGTTTGTATTTAACCCAGTTGGAAGCGGGTTTGCCCAGCGTCACAGAGTAAGATCCTCTGGTTCTGTGACGGAAAAGTGTGTAGACGGGGGTGACTTCCTTCTTTCTGCTCTCTGGGAGTAACTCATCAGATGTTGTCACCCTAAGGGTCTGAACCAAGAGAAACAGAAAGCAGCATCCAAACTGTTACAAAAAAACTGTTTTTGTTTCGTTTTACCAAAGCAGTTCCAGTGCAAGTACAGAGCTCGAGGCTCACTAATAAAAAAAAGTTACTTCTGCTTCGGTCCCCTAACTCTTGCCACAGCAACACCAACACTATGATCAGCCAAGACTAAATTGATTACATCATGCCGATTAAAATTCAAGAACCAGTCTGGTTAATTCTAGAGGCAAAAAAAAGAACAGATAAAAGCTAGGCGTTCAACATGGGGTGATGGAAAAGAAGCAGAAAGCTCTCATGCTCGTGAAAGTCTGGTTTCTTACAAGTCAAGTCCAAAGTTTCTTTGGAAAGCTTTTCTGAACCATCAAAACAAACATGCCACATCTGTATCATCACTTCGCAGAGGCTGTGAACCCTTTACCTCTGAGGAACTAGCGGGCTGCTCTTCTGTCTGGTCCTCCTTTGGTTCCAGTTGGCTCTCTGCGTCTTCCTCAGATGCCATTTCCGGCTCCACGTCGGACTCTTTCTCCAGCTCCTGATCCACCCAGATGTGAGCCGTGGGGATTTCGTCCACCTCAGAATGTGGGCTGTCTTGGCGGAAGTAGTGTTCTGAATCAGTGCTTTTCACGCTCAGCATGGCGAGCAGGTGCGGGTCCAGCCCAGTTCTTTCAATCAGCTCTATGCTTTCATCCAGAGATAGGAAAGGAGTACTGAGGCCCCCCAAACTGCTGCTGGAGTCGTCGCCGCTGGCTTCCAAGTTCTGTTCACTTGTCAGATTGTTCATGCAGTCCAATTCCAGGACTGAACGCAATAAAGCTCCCTCCATTCCTACCAAAGGATCTCTCAAAGTAAGCAGAATAAAGGGGCTGGCTTTTCCTACGAGCATAAATAGAATACATTCCATTATCAAACAGGAAATAAATCAGACTTATCAAACACTACAGCCTCTGAAGTTGCATTTGAGCTATTTAAAATCACCAAAGTGGAGAAATTCACCACCGCAGAAGGAAGTTTCATTGAAAATCAAACCCTTGTGAGAACCAAACCGGTTTATTCTATTCCAGTTCTGTCACCTGTATTTGTGGCTCCGTCGTCTTTGAAGAGTTGCTGAACTGCCCGCCGCATCTCTTCTGCTGCCGCTTCCGACACACAGAACAGCAGCACAGCAGCGGGAGGGGGCTCCTCGTCCTCAAAGCAAACCCCTCGTTCTTCTAGCTCCTCTTGCTCCCAGACGCTGTACTTCCTCAGGTCTTTGCGTTCAAAACTTAGTATCGCGTTCAGCTGTTTTATCGAGTCTGAGGGCAAAAGGAAGTTGGGTTGACGTAACGCCGGATTAACAACCTCTCAAAAATAAACTCAGTCATCGGCCCCTTTTTACCTGCCTAGGTTAAACTTTGGAACACATGCATCTTTTTTAGCCTCCTTCGCCTGCCTCCAACAGCTGGGGTTAAAGTTCCTATACAATCAATATGCCTCTGAGCAAACAACAGAAGCAGTCAGAGAGGTAGAGGTATGTATGTAGGCAAGTGAGCCCACAGAGCTAACTCCAATCAATAATGCCGTTTTAATTCTGAATCCAATCCAATTCAGATATATTTATAAAGCACTAAGTGCTACAGAATATTTAACAGTTTTAAAATGACAAATCCCAAAACCTCAATCAAATCCAAAATACTTTCAAATGCATATAACCAGCCGTAGAGTTAAACCAAAATTAATTAAGCACAAGTTCAAATCAACACCCCACGTCGTGTCAGAGGCCAAAGCAAAGACGCCAGTTTTAAGAGGAGTTTTAAAGGCAGTGATGTGGCCTCTTTGATACGCTTGGATTTCTGTGTACCACAGCCTTTTATTATCTCTGTAACTGGGCAGTATTGAAACCACCAACGGCCACATAAAGTGCATTACAGTGGTCCGGCCAGGTTGTAGTGAAAGTATGGATTAAAATGCTTCAGGGGGGAATTTTTCTTTTTGTTTTTTGCCAACTGCCTTAAACAACAAAAATGTCTCCTTTAATCTGTCAAATTTCAGATCAGCATCCACCTACACCTCAACCTTTGTCATACTGGGCCAAATAACCGTTAGGGTTATGGGGGGGACTTTCAGCCGTGCCACAAGCAGCTTTTACTTCAGTCTAAGTATCACTGAACTTTAAAAAGTAGAGAGCCATTCAGGCCTTTAGGTCTTCAAGGCATTTTGGCAGCAAATCAGCACAGTTCAAATCTTTCTTTGAGTGCAATATCAATCTGATTATCTTCAGCATAACAGTGGAAGAACACACAACACATTTGTGTAATGTACAGGTGCACGGAACCCAACTCTCCAAACTCATGTCTTGCCATAAGAATAAAATGAATTACTCCTCCACAGAAATAGTAATGCCGGGACTTTCCTCAAAAAGCATCAGGGCTGGAAAAACTAACTTCTGCCAAGAGCAGTGACTGGTATTAGACTTGCTCATATTGACCTTTCACCTCTACTTTGTAACCCATCCCCATGACCAGTACAGGACATACTGTATCCTGAGCCAAAGCAGCTTTGGACTCATCTTGAATGTTTAGAGGAAATGGTCTTTTTTTTCAGTTTAGAAGTTTTTCCATTTTGGGTGATTTGTGATAGATTTTTTTAAAGGAAATATCTTAAGGAAATAATATAAACATAATAAATACTCTGCTTGTTAAAAATTGTCTACAATGGACATTCCATCCAGAATAATGAACATTGACCTTAGGTGAAGGGGGGATTCAGATGCTCAAAGGTGAAAGGTGCCTGGGGTCTGGAAGCACTAATCCAAGTGAACAAATACACTTAACAAAACTGAAATAGACTACTAAGCTGAGAAAAGATGGTACGCAGACAGGAACTAAACGACATTGGTTCCTTTTGTGAATGGTGTATAAAGGTCACAGATAAGATAGCTCTCTTGACATGGTTTCAGACTGTTCTCTTGCCTGTTTATCATAACATTTAGTCTTACTGTCTTTTAAACTGTTATGAATGACCAAGTTCAATATGACCACAATGGTGTTGACAATCTTACCTTTCACTGGGAAGATTATTTGAGTTTTTGCTATCTGTGAAGATGAAAAAAATAGTGTTACACACCTAAACTAAAAAAAATGTATGAAGTATTGGTACTTTAGCACTGAGGCTACCATGAGTCCTCCGTTTGCTCTGCCCTGATAACCTCCATAGTGCAGGGTGCAGAAGGCCACGCTAATGCAGGAGTAGTCCACAGGTTCATCTGGAGGAACCGGTACTGAGCTACACGCCCCTGTGACACCAACTTTCAAAGACTGAAACACAAAAGCATATATGCACAACGTTGGCGTTCGGATGTTGAAGAAAATACAGCAACAGCACATCCTAAAGGCTCCCTTTATAAACTAAATTTGAATTGATACGTCGAAGCCACAGTTAGAGAGCTTTGAAACCCTATCAATACCACCATCTAGTGGTGGGTATCAGAAGTACAATATTTGATATGAAGTCATCCAGACATTTCAATGACTGGGGGAACACAGCTCTCTGGCTAATAATAATATCATACATAAAATGTAGTTCCTGCACTTACAGTCCCTTAAATATACAGATTTATTATCTATAAATGTTGGGGCTTCAAAGACATATCATTTTAAAAAAATTTAAACATGCAATCGCTTTTTTTTTAATGGTTAGTGAAGTTTAGTAACGTCGCCATCTGAACTACTCAGATAGGCTGTGCTTGAATCTTTGATTGATGAAGTTTACCAGCTGTAGTCTGTAAAGATAAGACTTCTGGACCAGATAAAAAACAAAGAACTGAATGGTCTCCAAATGGTGCCTTTTTAAGTTTTCATCAGCCTACTATGATTTGTTTTTATTAACAGTATGTAAATTACTTTATCAGGTTTGTATACCTTTAAGATCAGCACATTTGAACAAGTAAATTACATTTACAGCCTTATATTCAAATAACATGTTATATTCTTGTGTGATCAGGGCCAGGTACTAAACAAAGAGTCTTCTGATTTGTTTTGTTCCATTAGTCAGCAGGACACCCTGGGGTGATGTAAAGCCTTGGGTCCCAGCAGGATGTCTCCAAAACATTGTGATGTTGTGTTAATCCAGGCTTTAACTCAGCTCAGTTTAGAAACAAATAAATAATTGTATAAGAGTCTTGGAGGCGCAGTCCAGATCATTATAAAACATGTTTCTTGTGTTGTGAGATGGGATGGATAAAAATGATGTGAACTTTCAACTAACCTGAATAATCTCAAAGTCAAGAGCCCCCTGCTGTGTGGGCACAATTTCCTGTGAGGGGTTTTCCTGTGTGACTCGGCCCTCCAGAGGGGCCCGCTCCCGGCAGTGCCCAGATTTGACACCGTTTTCCTCATCATCACTGGACAGCACAACTGCAACACAAACGGGAAGAAACCATCAAGCAAGCCAACCTTCTCGGGAATGATGCTACTTCTTTCCTTTGCACGTAGGGGCCACTCGGGGCACATGCCCTTTACTGAGACTGCATGAGGAGGATTTAATGAGCTTTGAAGTGGCATGCCTGTAGTAATCCTGGAAAAGACCCAAGGTACAGTTCTAAAGAGAAAAAACAATAGCAACAATAGCTGAAGAACCAAATGGGTCAAGACTGAAAAACATGATATATTATGATCAATATTTTCTTAATGAAATCTGTTAGAAAGGGCATAACATGTGATTAAGATGACCCTGAATTTATTTTAATATGTATGACAGCATAGCTCCAGAGGTAGGTGGAAAAACAGGCTTGCTTGTTTGAAAAGATATGTAAAACCGGGGGTAACTACAGGAGGTTCTGACAACTTTAAGCGTAACTGGTAAAACAGTTAGGCTAATCAAAGACATCTGATGCGTGCATTAATCTACGTGTTAGATTAATCTTTCTTAGTCTTAAAGGCTGAGTCTTAAATGATGTGGTATGCCTGCCTCAATATTGTCTGTATTGCTTTAGACAAAAGACTGTACAAACAACCTACGAGGTAACTCACTGGGCTCAGCAGGGCTGGTTTGCGTTGCGATGTCCTCCCTGGATAATAGGCTTTGGCTCTGGTTGCTAATAACATCTCCAGCTTCAAAGGAAGGGCTGCCGACTGGAGCCTGAGTCTCCAACCGATCCTCTTCTCCAACTGTGAACTGTACAATGCAACGGTCCAGATTCTCCATGTCTACGTCTCCCTCCTGCTCCTCCTGAAGAACCGACGTGGGAGTCAGTCCACCGGCTCCTTTGTCGTCCACCGTGAAGCGAAGCACACTCTCACGGTGGCGTTTGGGGCTGTTTCTTCCATTGCACTCGGGCACCGATCTCTTCCTTTTTTGCTTTTTATTAAAAAACAGAGTCAGAATTACAGTATTGAAGTTTCATTGTGAGTGTAACTGCTTTATATCATTATTAGTCCTCATGGTTTATCAATAGGGGTTCATTTCAGGTCGTCTCTTATGTTCGTTTTATATAAAATCTGAGTTCTCAGTTATTTAATCTTTCAAAGAGGTCGTCTACGTTAATTGCCTGATCCAACCCTTTTATTCACATGCACCTAACAGAGGTAGTGAACCCAACTCTAAATCATGTCGGTTGCTTTGTGTTTCCCTCTGTCCTTACAAGAAGACACGAGGACATGTAGCATTATAAGGACGTGAGGTACAAACTGTTTGACTGAAACATCTTTTCAGATATAGAACAGAATAATGTTTTTTTCAGCTTTCTTTTTGCTACAATAAAACACAGAATGGTGAAGACTGTCTGGAAATTAGAAGAGGACGGTAAAAAGCAACGTCTCTCGTGAGCTTTAATTTATTATATTTTTACAAAAAAGGCCCAAAAACATTATTGTTGTCATTCAATCTAGGCAAGAACAATGCCAAATATTTTGAGACTTTGGAAAGTTTTCAGACAATGCCTGTGAAAAGAGTGATGAAAGATGATGAGAAAATGTTGGTCTGTACTTCTGATTGAATCATTCCGTCTTGGGTGGGTGTGATTAGAGTAAATATTGAGTTTAACAAGTGCTACTCACTAAGCTGTGTTTTACATCTTTGTCGGGATCAGACAATCTATCCTTGATGCTGTCTGGGGAGAATTCTTTACAGCCACCTTCATCCTTGGTATGTTCCCAGCTCAATGACAATCCACAGTCTGGAGGAGACAGACAGACAATCTGTGATGCTAAAATGAACAAATCCAACTTTCTATCATCTTTGTAAAAAAGCATTGTTAAACTAGTGAGGGAAGCCTGCACATTGGGACAACAAAAAAGTTATTCTCTATTTTTAATACACCGTCAAAGTACAGTTTTTATGTTTATTCACTTTAGGAAAAATATTCTGAAAAAATACAGTGTACTTAATGTTAAATGGTCTGACAAATTCAGAGGCATTTCTATTTCTTTTTTCATGTGTTTGTCCATTATTTCTTTTTTTAAAAAGGAGCTCTTGTGCATAAATATGGGCTGACAGCATACTTCTTACTGCCTTCTTCCGTTAGTTTGATGGAAATTTTAAAGGAAAAAAAAAAGTAAAAATACTTCAAAACAACACAGCATACATTAAAATATTTATCTAAAATCAATATTAACTGAGTTAAATTATTATTTCTCTGCAATAAATACCAGTATAACATTAATTTATTAACATACTAGTTGCATGTAAATACATCTACCACAATGATGGAATACAATTTTCTTACTAGGAAGTTGAATTCATGGACTCGTTCTGGGGCATTTCTAAAGTATAATTTAAGGTATACATAGTATATACTACATAAAATTCAATATTCAATCAAAAGTTAGCTTTAAAAACAGCATCAACCTTTGATAAAGATTAAGTATGGGCACACTGTTCTAGGGAGAAAAGAAAGTGAGGAAATGGAGACTTTCCAAGGAGTATAATGAACTATTATGCATTTTATGCATTTTTGAACATTTGCAACATTTACATAACTGTCATAAAATCAAACCACATTAAATAAAACAGAGGGGTTGACTCACCTACAACCTCGGCAAAACGCTCATCTTCATCACTGTCTTTGCCTAGTATCAACTCCTGGATATCTTCGCTTTCTTCATCATCTTTTTCCTTTAAATGTTGTGAATTTCTCGTGAGTCTTGATCTAATGAAGGAAAAAAGAGACAAAAATCATGTATAGCCTTTTTACTGATACTTGAAAAGAAATACATCTAGATATCAAAATAAAGAATGCCTTTCACTGCATTGTGTATGTAGGGTTTTTTTCAGGTTGAAACAATTGCTTAATATACAAGCTTAGTCTGTTTCATCAACAGACACATGTATATACAGGGGTTGGACAATGAAACTGAAACACCTCTCATTTTAGTGTGGGAGGTTTCATTGCTAAATTGGACCAGCCTGGTGGCCAATCTTCATTAATTGCACATTGAACCAATAAGAGCAGACTGTGAAGGTCCAATTAGCAGGGTAAGAGCACAGTTTTGCTCAAAATATAGCAATGCACACAACATTATGGGTGACATACCAGAGTTCAAAAGAGGACCAATTGTTGGTGCACGTCTTGCTGGCGCATTTGTGACCAAGACAGCAAGTCTTTGTGATGTATCAAGAGCCACGGTATCTAGGGTAATGTCAGCATACCACCAAGAAGGACGAACCACATCCAACAGGATTAACAGTGGACGCAAGAGGAAGCTGTCTGAAAGGGATGTTCGGGTGCTAACCCGGATTGTATCCAAAAAACATAAAACCACAGCAGCCCAAATCACAGAAGAATTAAATGTGCCCCTCAACTCCTGTTTCCACCAAAACTGTCCATCGGGAGCTCCACAGGGTCAATATACACGGCCGGGCTGCTATAGCCAAACCTTTGGTCAATCGTGCCAATTCCAAACGTCGGTTTCAATGGTGCAAGGAGCACAAATCTTGTGATGTGGACAATGTGAAACATGTATTGTTCTCTGATGAGTCCGCTTTTACTTTTTTCCCCACATCCGGGAGAGTTACGGTGTGGAGAAGCCCCAAAGAAGCGTACCACCCAGACTGTTGCATGCCCACAGTGAAGCACGGGGGTGGATCAGCGATGGTTTGGGCTGCCATATCATGGCATTCCCTTGGCCCCATACTTGTGCTAGATGGACGCGTCAATGCCAAGGACTACCGAACCATTCTGGAGGACCATATGCATTCAGTGGTTCAAACATTGTATCCTGAAGGAGGTGCCGTGTATCAGGATGACAATGCACCAATACACACAGCAAGACTGGTGAAAGATTGGTTTTATGAACATGAAAGTGAAGTTGAACATCTCCCATGGCCTGCACAGTCACCAGATCTCAATATTATTGAGCCACTTTGGGGTGTTTTGGAGGAGCGAGTCAGGAAACATTTTCCTCCACCAGCATCACGTCGTGACCTGGCCACTATCCTGCAAGAAGAATGGCTTAAAATCCCTCAGACCACTGTGCAGGACTTGTATGTCATTCCCAAGACGAATTGACGCTGTATTGGCTGCAAAAGGAGGCCCTACACCATGCTAATAAATTATTGTGGTCCAAAACCAGCTGTTTCAGTTTCATTGTCCAATCCCTGTATATATATATAAATATAATGTATAAGAAAGAATACAGAAAAGGAAAGAGGTAAAAGCTGGGCCAATTTTCAACCTAATGATTTGCTAATCAAATGTAGCTGGATTATCTTTATTTTCTACTTATAAAAAGGAGAACTATCTTCTCCTCAAAAAACACTATTCTCTACAAAAGTATTGCAAAAGTTTGCTTGTCTTTTTCTATGTTTTACTGGTTGATAACCCTTTACATCAATTACACAAGTGTATAACAAGCACTTTTTTTCAAATTTTTAGTTTGTTGCGAGCAATCATTTTAGCATGCTTTTTAGTAGTACAGATAACTGTTACACAGAAACTTGCAGTGTTCACATTGAAGCTCCTTGAACCTTTCTAACACCGAGCTGATTCCTTGTATCAACTTGGCTTTAAGCTCATTTTGAAAGTAATCATTCATCCAATTTTGAAAATTTTCCCAAAATATCTTCTGAATATGTTTTCCAACCTATGAGAGGATGATGGAGGGGTGGTCCTCTGGCTGCTTTTAGGAGTTACGGGCTTGCTCCTATTATTCCTGGTTTCCTTGTGACTGGAGCGAGTCTCTCTGCAGGTCAGAGGAGGTTCTTCTTGGCAGCAGCTGCTCTCTCCCTGTGGATCCGTCAGCTGTTCTCTGTGGCTCATGGGGCCACTATTTCTTTTCCTTTCCATGTAAGCCTTTCCTAGATCCGTCTTTAAAACATCTGTTAAAATCAGCAAAGGCTTCCTCCTGAGGGACAAAAGAGAGAAATATTTACTTCCCACTTTCTCACATGAACGTCTTCTCCGCCGCATCATACAACATGAAAGCTTTCCACTTGAAGGTTATTTTTCATAGCATATAACGCTTCGTGTATACAGCTGATCAACAGGGAGGGGCTGAACGCTGTAGATAAGTCACAAGTGTTGTCAAGATAAGTTTAGCATTTAAGGCATGATGCTTAAAGGCAAAGCTTCCTTCAAGTAACACAACTTGGATCACTGTAGGAAAAAAATGTGCATATATGTGTGGGACATGAGAAAAAAATGGTGAAAACAGAGGAAATACCAAATTTGTATTTAAAAAAAAAACTGACAAAAAGAAACATTTTCTTGCATTAAAAAGACCACCACTACTTTTCTGGAGAAGCAATTTAACGGAACGTGAGGAAATGATGAGTCATACAGCTAAATGCGTCAGTTATCAGAGGTGAGACAGAATGTTATTTTTACCATGAAACTTAATACTAGGAAGGGACATTTTAAACACTATCGATGTACGTTTACAAATCGTTATCAGATTAAAACATTAACAATTTCCACTTAAACTGTCAAAACTGTAGGGATGAGTGCAACTAAGGAAGCCTGGAAAGGTTAGAATCAAGAAGATTTCATAGGAGGACCATTTTGCAACTAATTGTGTGAATAATTAACAAGTCAAAGATATCCTTGCATGTGAAACAAGAGTGCCCCAGAGAGGCAGTCTGTCAGAAGACAGGTTTATCCAAAGACAATTGTTCTTACTAATACTAACAACAATAACAACCATAACCCTTACGCCAACAGTCTAGGTATTCATGAATGTTGGATGTTATTTAGGTAGTACTGGTGGAAAAAAGAAAAAAAAATCCAAATCAAAACAATATTTGTTGAAGATCTTATGCAGTTAGAATCTTTATTAAATATATGTTTTTTAGAAATACACTAAGGTTTATGCACCTTTATTAAATCAAATTCTAAAGACTTTTACCATGCCACCTTTATTTTTGTCTTCAATATTTCTTATTTAGTTTTTCTTTTCAGGATAAATGTTGTAAGTTACTATGGCAATGCTTTTAAAAGAAATCACAGGAAGTCTGCTGTGTCTCACATAATAACAGTGCCACTTGTCTGAGAAACTCATCAGAGATCATTTTGGGACAAATGATGATATATTGTTTGTCACTTTCAACTGGGTGGCGTAAGAATCACCATGTGTTCAATCAACGGGACCAAAGCCTTCCTCCTAGATCTCTGCCACATAGCAGAGACGCTTGTGTCTTATAACACCTGAAACACGCAAAAACAAATTTGCCAGCTTACCTTGTCACTTCCAGATTCATCATAGTAGCAGGGTCAAACATCACGGATCCATTTTTATGCGAATTACACGATCTGAATTTGTATCCTGAAAACACTGTCCATGGAACCTTTTTTTTCCAGAGAGGGAGGGAAGACAATGTAAGTCTTGGTATATTACCAATATCATCAGAGCAAAGATTTGCTGTACCTGTCCGTCTAACTTCCCACAGTCTGATGAGCGACATGTCATGGGGATCCTGAGTGGGTTTTCCACCTAAAAATTCCCAGGGTGATTTAGTTATTGAGTAACAATCAATGCGAAAGCAAGGGCAAATTTTCATGGCTTTGCCTTTGATCTGAAGTTATGTGAAATGTTTGCATTATAAGGATAAGGAAGCAGTGTTTGGTTTGAGTTATCGCAAAAAGAGTGATCAGAGCCTGTCCACTACTTGTATTTGGACACATTTGGTTCGCAGCTGAAGCCACTAAAACCACGGAATGATCTCGAAGTGGATCATTGGATGTCCATGTTATGCATGCAGCCACATTTGAGAAATAAAAAATAAAAGTGCATTTTCAAGATATAAAATATCAGTTGTTATCGTGTTGTTTCAATCTGTCAGTACAATGTTGGAGAAACAATCAAGAGCAATGGATGACACCTGGGCTAAATATGGCAGCATCAGGATCCTTACGTCAATTATCAAATTTGAGTTATTCTTTTTCATTCAAGTTGCAAATAACTCCAATCCATGTAAATCCATGTTTGTGCTGTTATTATGGGGAACTGAGTCTAGATTCATGGGGACTTGTTTTTATCTTAATGATTCTAACATAAGCCTGCAACATTACAAATGGTGAAAAATTGAAAGGGGTCTGATTCAAAGTTTAGCCATGCACTGATTATAAGAGTGGGCCTTTGCCAAGATAACGCTATTAAAGAGATTATCCATTTCTTTCAATGTGCGCACACGAAGCTGTTGGAATTATCTATTATTATCTCAGCTTAGATAATGGGTTTATCTAAAGGGCTATCTTAGCTAAAAGCCAGAGAGGTTAGCCGTGATAAGAGTGGATTTTTGTTTGCTATTTAAAGAGGTGCCAGTTTTCATTGAGCGAACATTACATTGCGGCTTTCTACACCATTCTGATCTGCATCAGATGCCTGCAGTGGGTCAGCTGGGAGCCTGTTTCACAGTTTTTACTGCGCTGAACATGTGCAAAAAAAACACAGACCACAAACATGACAACAGCTTGATCACACATCCTTTGTGATGTGTGATCTGCTTAATGTACTGCGTGCGTCCACAGAGCTTTATCCCCTAAAATGTCCCACGGTTAAGAAAACACATCATAGTTTAAACAATCATCTGTCCATTTTCTGAACTGCGTATTCCCAAATGGGGTCACAGAGCCTATCTCAGCATTCATTGGGTTAGGTACACCCTGGATGGTCCGCCAGTCCATCGCAGGGCAATTTGGAATGTGCAATTAACCTAACATGCAGGTTTTTGGACAGTGGAAGGAAGCCAGAGAGAACCCAAACTAAGACAGGGTGAACATGCAAGCTGGTTCCCCTGGGGACTCAAACCCAGAACCCTCTTGGTGTGAGACAATGGTGCTAACCACCACACCACAGTGCCTTCCGCTTTAGCAATCAGAACAACGCTAAATTTAAAGTTGTGGGGTTTTGCTTTTCGATAGGGTGGAGTAGCAGTTTCTGTTCTCCACCCTGCTGCATTTTGGCGTCAACGCTAACTTTGGTAAATGGATAAAGATGCTGTATAAAGAACCCAAAGCAGCAGTGTCGACAAATGGAATAACCTCTCCCTTCTTTAACTTGACCTGAGGGACTCAGCAGGGATGTTCATTGACCCTATTATTGTTTACCATCTTTTTAGAGGCTCTAGCAGTGTCTGTTAGAGCTAACCCTGGAATAAAATTAATTAAGGGAGGAGACAATTTACACAAAGTATTATCCTATGCTGATGATATTTTAGCAGTAGTATCTGAGCCTTTAACTCTTCTAACACATCAGATGAACACCAACTTTCAGAGGATATAGAAAAAATAGCATCATTAAACATTAACCCCTTACTTAACATTTTGGACACATCCACTCATTCCAAATGTATGTAAAAGTGTGGAAAACTTTTCCCTGGCACTGGAAACCCACACCTTTGAAATGGTTTATACAGAGTAGCATTAAATGGTTAATGACTCTGCTGAATGTGCGTTTACTCCAGGCTAAATATCAACCAGCCAATGGTTTGAATTGTTTTCTTCCATCTTTGGCGCATTTATAGACACAATAAACTTTGATTGCTCTGCTGGATTATAGTCGTTTCAAAGTGGTATCTCTTCCCACTGACAAATATATTCCCTTCCATTTATGAGAATGTTTCATTTGCCAAATTTTATCACTTTTCATTTGCTTCTGTGAACCCCAAAAGAAGGGGAGCTGGCCAAAAAACTATTAAAAAGTGCTAAAAACAAACTCCATTAAAGAAAAAGTGCCTTTAAAAAGAGCTAGCGGGCCAACAATGCATGCAATGATACAACTATATATCTTAATAAAATGGCAATAATGATGCAATGTCACAAGATAACATGCTTATTCATTCAAACTGGGTGTAACAATAGCTTTTTTGTTTTTACCATGTTATCTTTGTCAACAGCAAATGGAATAGTTAAGACTCTTCTTTGCTCCATCATGGTCCACGGCGTTATGAGGCACAGCAAATAATCTGCAAAAAAATACACAAAAGAAAGTGTTGGTGAAAACAAATATTGGCTTTTTTTTTTACCTTGTTTGTGCCAACAAGCGGTCAAGGCTACCAGTAGATGACAGAGGAATCATATCAAATATTAACTTCAATTCTCACACCTAGATATGACAATTTTACATTTTTTACAGTGTATTATCTACTCTTTTCATAAGTGGAATAAAGATATGTCCAGTATAAGATACATATCACACAGCTGATTAAATCTTATCATTTTCTCTTTGTAACACAACAATACTTCTGAACTGTGCGACCCCCTGTCGATCGAAAATCCACTCGGCCACGACAAAGGGACGTGGGGGAGCATACGGGTCGTTACCACCCATATGCTCATAAAGAAATTCGCTTGAATGCGTTTAACAGATTACCCAAAACAATAATGGCGAACGTATGATACCGACTTGCAGCTCAATAGAGGGACTCGCTATGTGGGTTCACCAAACAAGTGTGTCGCTTTTGTCAAACAGTACGAGGTTTGTCTCAATTATTTTGTGTGCATGGTTTCATACTCAAAACAGAGCCTAACTTGTATGCCACACTCACCTTCGCGTGTTAAAAAAAATGTTTTTTTCTATTCGTGAAAGCAACTGAAAGTTTGAAAAAATCTGATTAGCGCAACGCTAGCCGACACAGCTAGCGTGCGCTAAAAACGTAGCCAAAACAGAGCTTACTCCAGGCCAGGGCTCCCTTAAATTGCAACACGCTATAGCGGGATAAAAGGAGACCATTACTTTTCCATTAATGTTTACATCCGTACCTTGCAGGTGCCGAAGGGACTCATTTTCCTCGGTCCAACCTCGTACTCAGCAGGCGTTTCAATTTTACACAACAACTTCCGGTAAAAACGGAAGCACATCCAGAGTGGACAAACAGGAAATACAAATCCTTCAGAACAAAAGAGTGAGATCGAAATTGTGATTAACAGTAAAAGCACAATTAACGCCTCACAATTAATTCATTAATACAAACTACACTATATTATTGATTATTTAATATCTCAACCAGTTGCCTAATTGATCATTAAATAATTTGCTTAATCAACCATAAAAACCTAGAAAGATTTTTTAAAACTACACAAGAAAACAAGTGTTTCAACAAGTTAAATGGTTAACTCCGGTAAAATAATAGAATATCAAAATATCAAGACCTGAACACGCAGATTTGGATATACATCTGAAGGCACAAAAATTCACTCTTAAGTTGATGCCTCTTCAGATTGATCGACTTTTGTGGTTTTTCCACAAATATTCAAACTCTACAGCAATATTTGCAATAAAGTATGGATTCCAGCTATGACAACACATAAATACTGATTATTCCAAAAAGATCCAAATTTGTTTTCTTTAAGCTTCAGTCTTTTTTCTTAATACAATTGCATATTGAATTAATTAATGGCTTTTTTCTTTTAAATTTCATTACAGTAATAACTTTAACCAGTAGTACAGGCTACGTAACATGAAGAATATGCAAATAATATCTCCCACACAGAGTTTTTATTTTTATTGATCCATTTATTCATTTATGCAACAACAGAAACATCAGGCCTGCCCAGCCTCTGGACAAAGAGGTTGATGAGTCAGCCTTCAAACACTGCAGCACATAAACTAAGGCCTTTGTCACAGGTAACATTTTGATAACATGCATGTTTTCATTATATTCGGATGTCTAAAAACAGTCCAGATAAGTGAAATACTGCCATCATTATCTGTAATTAGTTGCACTTGTGACATAAAAAGGCCATCTCGTGTGTTGTCCTGAGTTGAACACTGGAAAGTGGTTACAATTTTGGAGGCTTAAAAAATTTTGTTTTATTAAAACAATTGAATTTTCAATTAAATGATCTTATTGGAGACTTCGATAAATAATTTGCCATGGGGTTGACCGCAGTCCCAGTGTTCACCCAGATCTTTAACGTCACGAGCCACATTTCTGCACAGATGTCTCTGAGGATGTGCCCATGGCTGCTGCTCCACCTACAACTTCCGCAGGTTCTGGACTCGGTGCAGCAGCGGAGGCGGATCCTATCGACTTCTGCCCCGCTTTCATTTCAGCTGCAAGACAAACCAAAGTTAAATATGACAAATGCAGATTAACGCTGTAACCAAAAACCACAAATAGTCTTGGTCTTTGTCTTTAGCACTAATACCCCTAATCTCATGGTCATGCTTCATGATGTAATGTTAAGATAAGTGAAGAACGATGATATAAGAGCGGGGAAATGTAAAAAGCATATTACACAAAACAATGCTTACATCACGACAATATAGAAATAAAGTAATAAAATCGTGAATCTGCTGACATGTCACACAGTAAGGATCTGGAGGAATTCAGTAACCAAATGTTTTGCACACGGAAGGCCAAACAGTGAACAACCAGCCCCACAAAGAGGAAAATCTTACACAAATCTTTCCGCTTGTTTAGACTACATATTTGTATTTGTTATCAAAGACTTACCTTTAGCACTACATGGTGTTAGGAAGGGCTGTTCCACTTTCTCCCCCTCAGAAAGGGAAGCCTGGATCTTCCTGACCACATAGGCACCAGCTGTAATGTAAAATAAGAATGGACTGAATCTTATAAAGGTAGTCTTCATATGTTTATGCCTGATTATTTAATTTAACCCTGCTTTGTAATGAGAAAAAATAAAAGAAGAGGAAATATCTATAAATATATAGAAACTTATAAAGTCCGACGATAATGATTACAGTTTTAGATTAAAGGGTTGTCATCATTTTTAGAGGCATCTTGAATTTATTCCTAAACTAAAGTAATGTACACAAACGTCACTTAGAAAAGTTTAATGATTTTTTTATATCAGTACAACTTTAATATTGGACGGAGTGGCCAAATAAGATAATGCCTCTTAAATTTAGACAAATGAAATGCAGGTAATTAATAATGACAAAATAGTAATAAGTTACTTGATTCATAAACAGTATTTTACAGAGGAGAAACTGAGAAAATATGTTCTATGTTTCGCGGATTTAGTTTCGGTTCACATAACCGCCCTCCAGACAGAAAAGAACAAGATGTGAAACAACACTGTCTTCTCAGACGAGGGCGAATTAATACAATTTCAATGCAAAATAATGATAACAATAAAATTAGTCTTACCTTTTATTAACAATCACACCATTATCTTGTCCCGTTTTCGTGTTCAGATTTAAAAATCTTGTTCGTCGCTGTTGTCGCCGCTTCCTGGGTCTTCCTTGTTGTACACACAACGTCACAAACCTGCACGTCCACTTACATAGCTCATAAACCCCAGGGGTGGGACTTAAAGTTTCTACCCGTATTTTGATTGGATGGTCGGTTATGCAATGGAAACCCACGTGACGGAGCGAATAAAAACACATTGAAGAGGATAGAGATGAGCCGCGCCCAAGAAAGAACCTAACGTGACAACTTCAAAACAGGCTTTTAATCATAGAACCTGTAATGCAACTTTACAAACACTAACCGATACTGTCCTTTAGTTCCTCTTTTGCTCCCCCACTGATACCACGACAAATTAAAAATACTTTCCTGGGAAATAACTCGAAGGGTGTTTAAATTTCCGCTGTGTCCTATGTTTGGTACAGATAGAACAGGAACAGAAAGCACGTAATCAGCCAAAGCTTCGATCCATTCTTTGCCTCAAATTGCATACATTTTCGGTTAAGTTTTTAGATTCATCCCTAATAATACTTTTTTTTTAAATTATATAATTAAACACATTTTTATATTAAACCAGAATGAGTACACAGTATAATCCATGTAATAATTTATTGTCAAGCATTTATCTCACTTGCCCGAGCTTAAATTTTCTCCTTCAATCTTAACAGAACTTACGGTAAAACTTTTCCAGTGTATTCCAACAAATACCTATCATTTGGAATAAACATACATGGACACATCTTGTCACATGAATACAGCAGTACAGCTTCTGTTACACTTGCATTTTCAATATATACACATAGATTTATTTAACTTAAAATTGTTTTCACACAGCAGAACAAGTACTACTTTTGAACCCATACAAATCTCATTCTTTCATAACATCATTGTTTTTTGTCTCTTGTTGGACAATAAAAAAAAATTACAGTTGCAATTAACAAGCCAGAAAAGATTTAACAGTTAAAGCTGTAAGGAATGATGCGAGCCGTGAAGTTGAAGGAGGAAGTCTGGATTTGTTCATTACTTAGTACACATGAGGATTTTGCTGTCGTCAAGCTTAAAGGGGACATATAATGGATTTTCCACTATTCTGTACCCAGGAGCACACATTTAGATGTCTGTAGTTATCTAAAAGTAAAACCATAGCAGCTTTTTTTGGGCCAAATGTCTCTGAAAATGTGTCCTAGCTGGTCTGATTTGCAGTGAAACTAATGTCTCACTATACCAAAAAGACAATTCCTGATATACTGATATAGTCAACCATTATCAATTTTAACTGCTAAAAGCTTAAACTGTACAATGCAAAATCTCAACAGTATTGTCAGACTAGCTGGCAACATTTCAGAAGTCTACCAGCTGTTGAAAGCTAAAGGGAAATGAAGGGAACTTTACGTATTTGAGAATGAATTACAGGAGTATTCTCCTCTTTGTTTAGTGTGTGGTCTGAGGGCATAGGGCCTTTACCATATCGGATCTGAGGAACACAGGAGAAAACTAAAAGGAGCTGCTGTTGCATCTCTGTAAGCATATCACAGACATTCCATTCCTATTTTAATAAACTAGCATGTGTCTCCTTTAAGGACCAACGCTGAAATGCTGACATATTTTTGTCTGTTACCGTGCCAGTGCTGAGGTGATTCAGCACTGAGCTCTTCCTCCAATCACTTTCACAATTTTTTTGTTTGTTTTCAACACCACACCACAAGAGCTTACACAAAAACACAAAACAGTCACTAGAGGGTCTAAAGAGGAAAAGAGAGTGCTGGTGCTCCGGACTTCAGTCCATTCTGATCTTCTGATTGGTCATCCTATAAATGATGCTATCATATCCTGGATCCATGTTCCACAGGTTGTAAGCAATGGCGATCACAGCGAGCGCCAGTATGATCATCAGCCACAGCACGATGTTGAAGATCACAGCGTATTCAAAGTTGTACTTGTAGGCCAGGTTGAAGGGGCTGCCCGGGTTACTCTGAGAGAACATTTTCACAACAGGAAAAAGAAAATGAAGCATGGGAGGTTAAACAATATAAAATCCTAATTTTACATCAAATCAAATAGGTTTCTGGTCATGAATTAAAAGGGCAGTGACCACATGAGAGACTTACAAAATCCTCAAAGAGAAAAAAACCCCTATAATATCCTCATCTTACAGTAGGCAAAGTCATTGGAATGATATACTCTTAGGTCTTTATGAAAATGTTGGGGAATCATTCTCATGTCTATTTCTCCACATCATTCTGATGATTATTTGGATGGTTAGACACGTTATTAATCTCCTGTTGGATTCCTTTAATGTATAAGTGCTGAACTAAATCTGAACGAGACTTACAATCTGTTTGGATTCCAGGATGGAGCGAGACTTCCTTGTCAAAGGAGCCTCGAAAGTCTTCACTGTTACGACCTCCACTACAGCCCTGTTGCCATAGAGACGGTACACATCCTCTCCAAACTAGAAAAATAAGAAAAAGAAAAGCAGGCAGATGGTGAAGACGAGGTTAAATCAAGAGCTGTGTCGCTCCTCCGTGTGTCTTGCTCACCTTTTGAAGGACGGAGGACAGAATGGCTGTGGCATCCCGGTACTGGGGAGAGTCTTTGCCGTAAATTCGACTCAGCTCCTCCAGGCCGGACAGCTCTAAAGAGTACAGGTCAGGGGAGTAGTCCGTGGCCAAATGCCTGTGCCTTTGCAGCTAAAGGAGGGGAAGATGACACAGACCTTTGAGTCCAACCTGATTTATTACTTTAAGGAAACAAAAAAAGGGCCTCGTCTGGCTGGGGCAGCTTACCAGAGCTGAGATGTCATGCAGAACTTGGACCTCAGACAGGAAGAGCAAATCTGCCTGTGAGAAGAAGGAGTCCAAAGCAGAGACACGGGTTAAAGTTCTATCACAGCTTTGTTTTCTAAATATCTGAACAGGCATATTAAATCTAAAATACGGTGTTGCCAGCCGACCTCTGAATTCCTGCTGAGGGAGTTGAGGGGCAGGGATGTCAGCACGGAGCCGTCCTGGGACAGACGGGCGCGGATTTGCTGCAGGGTGACCGGCAGGTCCTCGAACACGGCGTTGGCCTTGCCGAGCATGTAAAGCCGCTGAGGGACACAGCAACAGGTTAACCGTGAAACAGGGAGGGAGTCCTCACGGCACTGTCACAGGTGCTAGCTGTTGTTAACCCTGAGCGGGCAGAGTTTGTATACCTCCTCACTGGGGGCCAGCTGCAGCACGACAGGAGTGTACTCGGAAAACAAGGAGTGCACAGTCTCTGCAACACTATCCAGGGTGAAGGGTACCGGCTAGGAGACAGAGAATAACCCGGAGACAAGCTAAGCAAGCCTGTACGTGATATTTTTTTCTTTTTTAATCTATTCAAGATGCACAAAGATGTCTGGCTCACGTTTTCCAGGGGGTAGGAGGCCACACTCTGAGGGAAGTTGAGACTATCAACTCCCCTCACCACCACCAGCACGTTAGCCCGGGGCCGCTGAAATAACCCCCCCACCTGGAGGCCTGGCCAGGACAGATCCTGTGAGAAAAAAAGAAAGTCACACTAATACTAGAAATACGAAAATAACAGACAAGCATAACCACTCTTTTAAAAAAACGACTAATACAAAAAAAAAAAAAGATTAAAAAAAATAATAATTTAAACACACTGCACCTCCTGGACAGAGAAGCCCATGGTTAGAGCCACCAGGTCAGGAACCCTCTCCCCAGATATTGGCCAGTCTCCTTTCTGGAAGGACACAAACTCAGGAGCCTGCAACACGGTCAGGCTGTCTGCGTGGACACCTGTGGGGAAGATGAGGCAAAGCCCTTGAAATCAGTTGAAATGTAAATTTCAC